GGTAGGGCTGAACGGGCGGGAGCGAGATGAGAGGTGGAGCCTCTGTCTGATTGGTCGAGTGTCCGCATCTTCAGCAAAGACATGGTGTTGTCTTCAAGGGGCGGGGCCGGTTTTAGCCAAGTTCCCACTGTTGATTTCTGGATCCAAGGATTCTGCTCCGCTGTCAAGAGTGAAAAGAGCAACCCGACGAGAGAGAAATGAAATTAAATTACCTGCCCCTTGTTTACTTCTCTTGGCTTCAGACTCGCGGATGCGGATCCTCCCGATGGAAGTGAATCCATGCTCTCAGAGCTAGAAAGACAGGGTCTCTGGGTACAGTAACCTGCTGTGCCGCCGCAACCACAAGTCGAAGCCCACGAGTGCAATCTTGCAACCTTGTTTTCCCCTACTACAACGCTACGCTGCGCTGCTGGACCCGTAGCCCGTGCCTGGCCTGGCCTGGGACAGTTCATCATCACCACCATATGTTATCGACGATTCGCTGGGATCAGGCTCGGGTTTAATTTGGGAAATACGGCAGTGCATTGCAGCGATCAACATCCCATCCAAGAACAGCGCAGAGTGCTACTGCTACCTTGTAGGTAATAAACACTACGCTGCAGAATAGGCAATATGTTGTTGCTTCTGTCGTCGTAGCTTTGACTGTACTGTACAGTAGCGAAGCGAAGCGAAATGCAGTACTACTTCGGTGGCTGGCATGTAAATGCAGAACAAATGTACAATTAGAGTCACGTTGTCGCGATTGATTTGCTGATCGAGAAATGCGATTGGCGTCATTAGGTTAACGGCCTTCTTGTCTGGGGTTGCGCCCCGGTAGGCAGCAGTATTTCTGCACAGCTCTAGTGATTCCATTCGCAAAAAAGCCAAACCCAATCGCCGAGCAGAGCAAGCACTAGAGCGAGAATGGTAAGAATTTCGACAGGAGCGGGAAACGGAAACTCTGATTTTCCATTACCAGCGTTGGGAACCTTGTAGCCTCATGGCATATCCCTTGAAGTCGGAGCCGGAGACGGGGAGACTGATGAGAGAGCTACTCCGCCACGTTTTCTTGGTAGAGGTAGAGCGCAACATGCCACCCTGATTAGGAAAGTGGTGCATGCCTTTGACTTGAGGCTGGTGTCCCTAACAAATTGGATTCCCTGCGCCTCAGGTCAAGGATGGACTAAAGATAGAGGCACGTACTGTACTACTCGACCCCCTGCTTCGATCATCCCCGCCCTGTGATCCAAGTGGGGAAGCGAACAGGGGTGCCAATGTCCGCCAGTTTAACGTGGGAGAGAGCGTTTTGCAGTGATGAAAAGGCGGAGGACCAGGGGGACCAGGGGGTGCAACCGTCTTGAGATCCAGATCAAGAAACGTGCCTTTTTTGTTTCTTTACATCGACAATTCGAATGCGGCACAACCACAACCATGAGCACAAGCAAATCCACAAACGGCTGCATGGGAATCTCGCCGAGTGGTAGCCGACAGGTTGGGACATTCATTCATTCATTCAGTCATAATTGAGGCTGTAACTAGCGGATAATCACTGAATTGACGGCAGCCTGGAGTCTAGACACCCCTCACACTCATACTCACACTCACACTCACATCATTGTACATACCTATTCAACTGTCATGGATAGCTTCATCAACAATGGAATCGTCATAAAATCCTACCTGTTAATAGCATCATCAGTTTCACCCTCAGCCTCAGGGGACTTTGTCCATGCATACTACTGCCAATCCCCCTGAACCTTCGAATCTTGATACCGTTTTTGTATACTAGCAATTTAACGTTGTATGAGTTAACATGATATCGCAACACCTTGAATGATAACACTCTTCTCCTGTTCATCATGCTCGTACTCAGCTCTACCCCGTATCCAATTCAATTCAATTCAATTCTCGCATTCGCTCTCATCATCCTGCCTTGTTGCGTATGTTGCTCACGATCCTCTCATTCTTTGAACCCCTTCGGCTTTGACCGATGAGGCATACTCGTTATGATTCATATCTTGCCCTTTGCAGTTACTACACCTCGCACGAAAGGTTATCTTGCGCCTCCACGCCTGGCGCCGCTACTGTACTCTGCAGTACAGATTGACTTTCCCATCGTGTAATTCCGCTTTTTCTATCTTTATCCTGTGGCATTTTCACGAGGGTTCCGCTTCCCCAGGAATGGCGACATATCGAATGTCTCTGAGAGACAATGACAGGTGGGCGTGAAATGTGACTTATTCCCGTCTAAGCTGAATACAAACAAGGCCGGATACTCACTGAAGCAGCCCCCAGAAGTGCCAGACATTCTTTGTAATGCCGTCGCATCACATGTCTTGTGATGACTCTGGGGTTGGATTACCAATCTGAATCTTTGAAATGCCTTCTTCAGACGTTGACCAAAGTTTAGTGCTAGGAGCTTTTGTCGGCGCCATGGCACCCTAAGGTTTCGAGCGTTTTGAACCGGCGAGCCTTGTTTGACTCACCATTTGCCATTGATCACCACCAATACCCTCAATACGACAAGTTCCTATCCTCTACGACGAATACGCATTTGACGAATCGAAACTCACTCGCTCGCTCCACAGACTGGTCTTGTTGTGATGGATATTAACTCCACGCCTACGGCTCAGAGACGGATCTTAGCGGTGCCGCCAGCCGAAGCCACGACTATGCCGTCCGGTACGTAGGCTGGCTAGTCCGACAACTAAGGTACTACTTGGCGATCTCCGATAGTTTGAACAACTAATCTGAGTGTAGTTCAATAGGCGAGGGTACCAATGAGATTGGACTGGGAACTCAGGGACGACAGTTTACATCACTGAGCACATGTTGGTCAGAGTGTCTTTTCACTGAGGTTTCAGGGCTTAGGCGGGACGAGAAGGAAGAAAGGGTAGGCCGTTATGGTGAGTAGAGAACCCTTGGCAGCTAGTATGGATTACTCTTTTGGGGTGAAACCAGCCGCTGCGAGACATGTTTGTGAATAGCCAAGTTCAAAGTCTGCGTCCACGTCAAAGCAAACTACATCAGCGGCTTGAATCCTTCAGACGTGCAGATATTCCCCATGTCTGCGTCTGTTTCCATCTTTGCCGTGCCACTTTTGAAGGAACAAGTTTGTGAAGACATCGTCAAGGGAGGGGGAGCCGTTTGAATGGAGTTTAGATATGGGAACTGGAGTTAAGGACCCTGCGGCATGAAAAGACATCACATCACAGATCTCAGCGCGAGCCTGTCGGGGATTTTCTCAGCAGTAGATCAAAACCGGGCATCCAAGAGTCTGTTTCCCTGCTTTCTGGGTCTTGGATCACTTCGCCTAGGATGATTTACTGTATGTGCTGTAGAGTTCTGCATTGCATGTCCCCCAATGGTGATGAAGTCAGTCAGTGTAAGTCAGAGCGGGTAAATAGGCTGGACAGGATATCGAGGTAAGGGGTGTGATGTTTGTGTTATTCCCAGGGAACTCGACTGCCTGCAGGCCATGCTCAAAGAGCATTGGCTACCGGTTTCAAGGGTGCAGTGCCTACAGTATCATCAGGCGTCAGCTCCAAGGCTAAGTGATCTCGTTCGTCGTCGTGGGTGGGGAAGGGAGCTTGGCTTTGAGGCGGGTGCTCCGCAGACCAAACAAGTCAGAACCCAATTTGATGCTGGGTGCTGGTACCTCATGATAGTGACGTAGGTGCTTCTATGCTCTGGGCGTTGAGTCTACATCTGATTAGTTGCGAGTGAATGCAACATTGCATTCATCGTATTGTGATTGAGGCACTGATGACGACGTGTCAAGTGCTATTCTCGAGACTCAAAGAAGTCCTAGATTGTTGATTCCAGACTCTTGTCTCTGGGGAATGTATTCTGTCAGAGGAACTGTCGCGGGTGTCTACATATCTCTTGGGGTAAAGCTCACGACGATCAAAAGAGACCCTGATTAACTCATCAACTCACAGCCAACTCCAACTCCACCACGAGAAGGATCGGAGGATCACCAGCAGGGTTACGGTTGCAACGACAATCCAACAGCACTTTACACGAAATACCATAAACGTCTTTGTTGCGTATTTGTTGGTGCTACTATAGTATCCTGTATCCACCGAGGAACCTCTCATTTATCTGAAACTATTCCACCCGTGCGCAGCTCAACCGTTGATCTGGGACCTACCCTGGACAAATTTTCATGAGGATCTGATGAGAAACAACGGGCCGATCCCTTGACATTTCTTGCGTATTGCGCCATGATAATGGGGCTGATATCAGAACGAAACGTGCGAGGCGTATTCTGTCGTTTACCGCGCGGTTGTCCCACTCGTTTCGTTGTGTTTCGGTGTCAATGCTTTTGTTAGTTGTTTCATGCAAGATTTGACTAGAATGACAAATAAGTCAATACTTCATAAAAAATCCTGAGTGATATTTGTGGACAAGTGCAGGATATCATAGGATGAAATCAGCAGGCTCTTTGACCATCTGTTCTGCGCCCCTAAGTAACTAGATGTGCCAATTATTTGCATCTCAAACACTGGCAGCAGTCAAACTACAATATGGAATTGCTTTATTATTGCTTGAGATCAATTGTTTCTTTTGAGCATGTCTGGACCATAAGAACATTTATTCCGCGGAGGCTGCGTTAGCTGTGCTTTGAAATGCAAGCAGTCGGAAAACGACTTCGCGTTTGGATGATTCCACATTATAGGGTAATCAAGATTACAAAGCTTCGTGGATGAGTAAACATCCCCGACTCCAGAATCTCCCTGGACAACATCGTGCAGCGCGCCTAACTCATTGCGAGTGAAAGAGTGTGCATTCCAAAGAACTGATGACCAATTGATGATTTGTCGATTCCAGAGTCACGATATTGGAAATCATACTGCAAGATGGCATCCCTACGCCGCTCAATGACGACATGCTCAACCATAAAGCAACCATACATGCCTCTCTCTTTTCCTTCTCCTCTACCTTATAGACCACAGCTTTCTCAAGACTTCAATTACTCATCAAAACCCTCTTCAATAATCCCCAAACGTTGCTACTCAATGGCTCGACCAACCGGCCTCATTGCATCAGAGGGCATCGAGCTCCTCAGCTGGGGCACACCCAACGGCGTCAAAGCCCATATACTTCTTGAAGAGCTCCGCGATGCATATGGGCTTGACTACACCATACAAGGCATCGACATTGGACTCAATGTCCAAAAGGAGCCTTGGTTCACAGCCATCAACCCCAATGGTCGTATCCCTGTTCTTGTTGACCATGACAACAACGGTCTCGCTGTTTTCGAAGGCAATGCCATCTTGAGCTACTTGACAAGAAAATACGATCCAGAGCATAAGTTCTCGTTCAAGATTGACGATGATGACTATACTCGTGCTGAGTCGTGGATTGGGTGGCAACATGGTGGAATTGGACCGATGTAAGTCATGAGCATCAATATCGGGGCGGTACACTTACACTTCAGCAGGGAAGGACAGGCGTTTCATTTCAATGGTGTCAAGCCAGCAGTGCCATACGCTATACAACGTTACGTCGGCGAGGTAGAGCGTCTCTACGGGGTCCTCGACAAGCGTCTCTCAGATCGAGACTACATCGTCGGACCCGGTAGGGGCCGCTACTCCATCGCAGATATCGCCCTGATCGGCTGGACAGATCGTCTACCACGCACAACAATCTCGTATGATCAGTTTCCCAATGTTAAGGCGTGGCTTGCTCGTATGCTTGAGAGGCCTGCTGTAAAACGAGGCATGTTACTTCCAAGTGGTAAGGACCAGCCGACAGGATTGGACCCTGTGGACGAAGAGACGAGGAAGAGCCGTGCAGAGCTTAAGGAGGTTGTTGACAAGGCCAAGGAGCAATTTGGATACAAGTATTCATCCCCGTAAATGGTGACTTTGTCAGGGTGCGGGAGAGTTGTGTGAAGGAAGCTGTTACATTTTTGGAGTTAGATATCCAAGAGCATGTAGTATTCAAATGATATAGATTTTCGAATGTAGTGTCCCAGTCGATCAGCCTAAAGTTGAAACGACTCATTCGTTTATGAACTTGAATAGCTGGATACTGGATATCAGATGCATGTAGCTCAAAAGACGGCAAAGACAAAAGGCTCACAGCGTTAAGGAACGGTTTACTGAGACAGAAGATGGATTTTACAGTCAACTGGTCTTCTTTAGAATCACAGTCTTCCCGATGCGTCAATTCTCCTATAGTCTTGCTATAAACATAGTGTTCAAGTCACTTTGGACCTAAGCAATGCAAGAAATCTCGAGACCGTATTCCTCAGCAACATAAATACATAAGTCAAAAAGCTTAGAATAAATCACAAAATCTAGTAGGCTCTGTAACAATTTGCTTTTCGTCCTCCGATCACAGGTACCAAATCCGTCAACACCCCGAGGGGGCTTCTATCTCTGTTATCGGAGCTGGCGAGTGTATATCGAACGGATGCAAACCTACCATGTCAAATTAAACTATATGGCGAGGTGAACAAGAAGTAAAAGGGAATGGTGAGATAGCCATGGCCGAGACAGTAGCGAGAGATCTCAAGCTACGTTGGGAGCAAACGTTGCGGGTATGTCTGTGACGCAGCCTAATGACGGCTGAGCAATCAGCCCTCAGTTTCTTAGGAAAATACCGGTGTCGGAGTAATTATACGACCTAGAGTCCGACATTGTGGAGAGAAATAGCGAGTTCTACATGGTTGTGGTGCTTGAGCTAGTTGTTGTGAGACGATTGTTAACCAAGCTACTCTTTACCAACTTGACTGTACAAGACCGTGGTCATATAACAATTTAGCACCCATGAAGCAAGGCAAAAGAAGACGACGGTACGGGTGGCGTGACGTCCCCAGTTAAACCGCCTCCATGATAGCTCGCGATCATGACTTCCCATCATGACGACACTGTGCATGATGGTTGGAAAAATGGTAGATATGATAAATTCATCATTAATATGCTCATTCACTCATGAGGTTCGCTTTTTGATATTTAACTGATTTCATAATCCCATGCCAAAGCGCCATTCTGTTTGTTTCCCCTTAGTTGTGGAACTTCTTCACCTTCTCGACCTCATCGTAACTACCCATGAAGATACCGGCCTTGTCGTGGATGTGCTCGGGTACCACCTCGAGCATACGGTTCATCTTGCTGTCGACAGCTTGACCACCAGCTAAACATAGTTAGTAAAGTGTTAAGTCATTGAGTTCGATTGACGTACCATTCTCGAAAATGAGAGCCATGGGCGCGCACTCGTACAGAATACGGAGCTTGCCCTTGGGGCTCTTCTTGTCGGCGGGGTAAGCAAAGATACCTCCGTAGAGAAGAGTTCGGTATGCATCGGCAACCATGGAACCGATGTAACGTGAGCTGTAAGGCTTGCCGTCGGCTTGGGCTTGCTTTAGGGAGTTGAAGTAGTTGATGGTCTTGTCCTCCCAGTACAGAGAGTTACCCTCGTTGGCGGAGTAGATGGCGCGCGACTTGGGTAGGCGCATGTCGGGGTGAGACAAAATGAACTCGCCGATGCCGTTGTCGAGAGTGAAACCGTTGACAGTTCCACCGCGCATGGTGATGACAAGCTGAGCAGAGGCGCCGTACATGGTGAAACCAGCGGCGAGCAGCTCAGTGCCGGGCTTCAGGATATCCTCCTTGACACCCTTGGAGCCTTCAGGGAGCTTGTGAATAGCGAAAATGGTACCGACTGAGACACCGGCGTCCAAGTTGGAAGATCCGTCAATGGGATCGCAAGCGACAGCGTAGTGGGCATCATGAGCATCCCTGAAGTAGATGATCTCGTCCTCCTCCTCAGAGACGAGGAGCGCACACTTGCCTGATGAGCGCATGGCCTCGATGAAGAGGTCATTGGAGATGACATCGAGCTTCTTCTGGTCGTCGCCGGTGATGTTGGAAGAACCAGCCAGACCGGTGAGGTTGACTAGGGTAGCGCGTCGAATGTAGTAGGCAATTGACTTGAAAGAGAACTGGAGAGCGTGACACAATAGACTGAAATTTCGTTATTAGTATGGTTATCATGAAGTTGAGGTCACAAGGGACGTACGTGAAGTCACCAGTGGCCTCTGGGTGCTTGGCCTGCTCCTCAGTGAGGAAGCGGGTGAGGGTAACAATGTTAGTGTTGACCTTTTCGGTTTCTTGTCCGCTGTTTGTAGTAGCCATTGTGAATGTGTTTGTGAGGGGAGGATAGGTATGAAAGGAGGACAAGTTGATCGTCGGGAGGGGCAGTTGGAGAAGCGACTTGACTTGACTTAGACCGGGAGAAGGTTTAAGCCGACAGACACGAACAAGGTAGTTGTGATGGGAATAGTATGAGGGTATCGTGAGGGGGAAAGATGGAAGAAGAAGGGAGAGGAAGAAAAGAGAGAAGCACGCGACGAATATTGGGGAAACGGGACCAGTTATGTAAAGGAATAGAGAGGTAGGTACAGTTCTACCTCACGGATACCGCGTCCGTGTCTTGACGACAATTGACGGATATGACGATCGATGATATCCATACATTTCATTAGGTACACTTTCATTAACCGACTGGGGTTATCAACGGCCCCATCCGCGAAAGAGAGTCAACCCGCAACAACAAGACCGAGACTCTGAGACTCTGAGAGTATAGGCCCAACCATGATACGTAAAAGCTCCATTGGGGGCGCATCATATCGGAATGTCATGGGCCATCGTGACCTTTGATAGCGGGCTCCCGAAGAGAATTGGTGCTTTTGCCGGCCGAGGGGAAGCGGCTCAAGAGGATTTCCCGGGGTCTCCAACTCCGACTTCTTCCCCCACAATTTACAGTGGTCGAATTTGGAGGTTCTCGAGGTAGAGTTCGGGGGTTGTTCCCCGAGGAGCAGGACACTCGAATCACGATTTCTTTGTTAGTTGTCGTCACAGCCACTGAGAGACCCTCTACAGTGGGCGTGCAAAAGTTCCGACACATTCCGGATCCACCCCAACTACCTCGATCTCATACTGCCATTTCGGATTGCAATTGCATGGGCAATAATTCTTCAATTTAGATAATATATATATCAATCTGTAGAGACTTAAAAGGAGATTCCAGAAATATAGTTTAATACTTGGTATAATAGCCATTTGCGTTGTAACAGGCGTTCAACCGGTCGGGCATCGATTTTATCACGTTTTTGACCACTTCATCTTCGACCTCCGACCAAAGCTCCTCTGCAGCTTCAATCAGCCGGGCCAAAGCTGCTGCAGACTTTGGATAAGCAGCAATTTCAGGATATCTATCGCATATCCTCTTCTTCAGGACTTTCCATAGATTTTCAATGGGGTTGAGATCAGGGCTGTATGGCGGCCAGTCAGCAAGAAAGACTCCTGTTCTTCTTGCCCAGGGCAGCAGCCAATTCTGAACTTTCCGGCATTTATATGTACGGGCGTTGTCGTGCTGAAAAGTCTCTCCTTCCTCGACCAGTCCGGGAAGATAAGACTGTAAACAGGATAGAATAATCCTTCCTGTTACGCCTCCCCTCTCAGACTCAGGATCGCCGGCAAGAGGGACGATCCTAGACGGCTTATCATAGTGAATTGCACCAAAGAACATCTGAGAATGTCTGGCAGGCCGTCTACAGGGCTGCACCTTATCTTGATGGAGTCTCTCACCCTGTGGTGTTGTCAAAAGAAGCTTCTGAAATAGAAGGGGCTAGACTTACAGCAGAGTAAAATGACCACTTGGTATAGTCACCGTCTGTACGGTCGATAGAGACCTCATCAGAAAACCACCAGCTATACCAAAAAGACTCATCTTCATGACGATATTTTTCACAGAAAGCTTTTCTCAATTGAGCACTTTCTTCGCTGAGAAACGGGCGTCGAAGTGCAAGCTTGTGTTGTATCTTCTGATTGATAAGCCAGCGACGAATTGTGCTTCTTTTGCAGTTCAAACAGGTGCAATCAATTATTTCTTGGTATGAGATAAAAGCGTTTCTTCCAATGAGTATTTTGATATGATTTTTATCTATATCTGATAGTCGTGATGGCCTTCCAGAGCGAGGTAAATCTTTTGCTGATTGTTGGTGACGGTACCGTCGAATGACTCCATAGATCGCGTGCCGACTTAGCCCCTCACTGTCTGCGATATCCTGCACGCGAACACCTGATTCGTACATCGTCACAAACCTCGTTCTTTTGCAAGGAGAATGATGTGTTTTTTGCCGTATTCGAGGCATCTTTTCCTATAGAAATAACGCGATGAAGTTGTGGTGTTGATGTTGATGTTTAATTGAAAGCGGGGTCCGGACCTCGGATGTGTCGGAACTTTTGCACGGGACTGTATTTCCAGGCCCTGCCAGGCTGTCCCGGTGGGGGTGGCTCGCTCATATTGACGTTTAAGCGGGGGTTGAACCTCAAGGCTCAAAAGATCTTCAGTAAAACACCGAGTGGGTTTGGGGGGAGTTATGAGAGTGGAAAATTGGAAACTCCAAATGCCTTATCTCATACCTTGTTCATTCCTTGATTCGGGGTTCTGAGGCAATTGATTCAGTGAGTCTCGACTTGACTTATATCATGCATGTCCCCTAACCTTCTTCTACCCTACGGGAGACCGGAGTCGGATCAAAGGTTATCCGGTCAGCCGGGACATTCTCTCACTCTCTAACCTTGAGAGTTACAGTCGAGCAGATTGACTGACAGCTGATAGAGAAGAGAGCCCAATCTCTTACGGAAAGTCTCCGAGGTTGAAATGCATTACCAGAATTGGCGCCAAGCTACCCCGAAGTTTGGTATTCTCCTGATGAAGCCTCGGACATGTGCCGGTTGTCGACCTCAACTTGATGCTCCCTTTCTCTGTGAAGGAGGTTGACAAAGTTAGCAGGGTCATCCCTTTAATACTGATCAATACTGAATGGATAGAATACCGATGCAACAGTATAAACTATCGAATTCTACATAAACGGCAATTATTCCCATACCCAAAAAGGCAATTCTTTTGCACGACATCTCCTTATCCCTCCCTATCTCTCCTCGCTACAATTCCCCCTTCCCTTTAACTATCCCGCTCTCGTGAGCGGCGGACCTCGGCATCTCGGTCAAGTCTCCGTCTCCACGTTCAATCTCGACTTACTCCAGACACTTTGACTCCATTCGCGTTACCTACTGTACCCTTACTTCCCCAGCTTTTTCGTACCCGTTCCTGGTAAAACTTAACTTAACTTTTGCATCTCCATCTCCATCTCCATCTCCATCTTCTTTCATCAGTAATTGCTGGTTTCTTACTGGTAAATCGTAATTCTGTATATTCCAACTGTCGCATACCACCACCATCCACGTATACTCTACCTATACTCGGTACCATCGCAATCATGGTCGCTGACGCTCTCGTCTACCACCCCACGGTAGCGCACTACCTGCGCTACATGGCCACCACCCTCGGTCGCGACAAGCTCATGCGAGTCCTTCAATACTTCGCCCGCTTCTACGCCTGGTATCTCCTCCGCACAAACGCAACCCCCGACAAGGTCGCCCCTTGGAACGCCCTCAAGAAGCAGTTCGGCCTGTTCCGAAAGGTCTTCCGAGCCGGAAAGTTCGTCGAGCACTACAAGGCCGCTGCCACTGCTTCCGACTCCAAGTCCCTCGACCCCGTCCTCAAGTACACCCAGGTCGGTCGCCAGCTGGGATATGCTGGTTACCTTACCTGCGATGCTCTCACTATTCCTGATGCTGCTGGTATCAGGAAGTGGCAGCATGCCAAGCGCCTTCAGCAGGAGGCTTATAGATCGTGGGCTATTGGTATCGCCTTTAGCATTATTGGTCAGCTGTACACTCTGCGACAGCTGAGCGTGCGCGCATCAAAGGTTGATCTGAAGGAGGGTGAGGGTGTTGTTGAGAGCAAGACCATCTCTATGTAAGTTTCACATGCGCTTATTTGCCTCCCCTATATCTAGCTACTAACATATACCTCAGTGAGCGCGCTGCCGCCAAGAAGCAACTCCTCTGCGATCTTTGCGATATCCTCGTCCCTGTCTCCGGTCTCGGATGGGTTTCCTTCCTCGATGACGGCATCGTCGGCCTTACTGGTACCTTGAGCAGTGTCATCGGTGTCTACACTCAATGGAAGAAGACGGCTTAATCTTGAACACATACCAAAACCCAACAATACCCGATACCATATTTATACACACTCCGTAATTCCTTACAAAGCGCGTCACTTTGTTATCTGTTCGGTCGGCATCTTTCTTTTTGTACTATAAGGGGGCGACACGGTTGGGTTGTTGTCCAAAGTAAATCACGAGCATCAGGTTCACTCGTTGTGCAGTAATGCGATGTCAATTTGAAGATACAAAATCAAAAGTTGGATTATTTTGGCTATTTTCTGTGATAAAAGCAAAAACTAGCAAATAACGACTCTTACTGAGTGGTCCCAAAAGTCTTCCTCCAGGTTATAGTATAAGACAAAATAAAAGCAATAAGCAATCCCTCACCCACGACGGCTTCCTCATAGTCATACACTATAGTTCATATTACCCAAGACATGCAAGTCAAGTGCGCCCGTAGCCTTTTCCCGGTAACCGTCAACTCTCGTAATGTCCTCCAAGCCCTACACCTGACGCCATCCTAATGTCCCTCATACTTGTGTTTGCTCGTTGAGAATTCACCAGTCGGTCGTCAATCATTGATGCGCATATCTGCTTGTTGATCGTTTCAATCTTGTCCTTCCTACCTCATGACTGGTCGTCAATGTTTTACGCCATTGAGCGCATTTGGTTGAGAGTAGATCTAGCACCGTCGGTCAAGGACAGTCCCGCCAAGCAAGCGCCCAAAGCGGTAATGGGATATGGATTTACCAGTAGCGTCCACCACGATCATAGTCTCGGGGATAACCACCATCTCTTGGGTATCCGCCCTCTCGTGGAGGGAAATCTCGAGGAGGTCGGTCATAAGGAGGTCGCCCATTGGCATAGGGGTCGGGCGGGGGAGGGTAGTCGCGGCGGTAGGGATCATCGTAGCGGCCGCGAGGGGGAGGGGGAGGATAGTCTTCCATGGGACGGCGAGGAGGAGATCGATAACGGGCGCGATCATCATAGTAATCGCGACGAGGACTACGATCTCGGTAACCGTAACCACCACCGCGTGGACTATATCCGCGGGGAGGGCCACGCCGATCGTAGTCGTCCACGGGAGGAGGATAAGGTCGACGTCCTGGGGAGCGGGATCGACCGCGCTCGCGAGGAGGCATATCCGGCTGAGTCTAGAAGGTCAAGTCAGATTTGAGTTCTTACAAGAGAGGGGGCTTCCTTGTCATACGTCAGCAACGCATTGGACTCGCTGGCCCTTGAATTCACGACCGTCGAGCTTCTCAACAGCCGTTCTAAGGTCTGCTGCACTCTCGAATTCAACGAAACTGGTCCTTATTAGCCACTAAAACGAATAACGTGCAAGAAACTACTCACCCTCGGCCGTTCGAGTCGCGACCAGTTTCAGAATAGACAACGTCCAAGCTAGACTGGCGCGCAAAGTCTTTAAGATCCTATTTCCAGAATCCACGTAAGTTGCTGTCCAGGAAAGGCAACGCCGGAAGTCCATGTAATCCACAAAATGATAGTGCAGTTCGTCAAGTCAACAACCAGGAGCAAAACCAGGAGAGGGGGTGGAGAGGTCCGTGGAAGTTGTCCCCTAAACCTAGTCCCGGTGTAGTACCAATGGGTCGAAACCAGAAAAACCAGAGATGCGCGCAAATCACAAGGGGAGGGTCCAGGAAATCCAGCGATGAGCAACGGGGAGGATTGAACAGACCTGCCAAGAGGTATCGTTTGGAAGTCCCGTAATCTGCATTCGGTGAGGGGTTCGACGAGGCCGTGGCGCGGTGCGCTCATGGTTGCCAAAACCGCCCTCGCGATGCCGGGAACCGCGGGCGAACTGGACAGTGAGTCGTTCTCCCATAAAATCAGAGCCATCTTTCGAAGTCGCATGTTAGCCAGGGATGAGGGAAGGAGTCTACGGTGGTGACATACGGAAGGCTAGATGGATCATTAGCAAGCGCGTCGCAAGACAGAAGATAAGGGGGGATAACTAACCCGGTACAACATCACGGGCATCCATGGGGTCCTTGTACTCGATGAAACCGAAGCCATTCATGAGCTTCACCTCGGTGATTTCTCCGGTACCATGAGTCGCGAAGTGAGCCTCGACATCGGATTTGGTAGCTGTTGGGCAGCAGGTCAGTGGTTTGACTGAGAGCGTCAGGGCGATGAGTCCGGACCATTGCGAGGGAGGTTTCCCAAGTACAGCCGGGTGGCTGATACCTCCGTCATGTTGCCGGTGGGAGGAGTGTCGTCGGGTCAAGCAAGAGAGGGATCCAGACGGAGGGAGGAGCAGGAATTCGTATATAGGTCAAAGCCAGGGATATTCCAGATTAGGTGTCCAGGGCCAGTTACGCGATGGACCAAGAAAAGAGTCAGAGTCAAAACGCGGGGTTTTGAAAGGTGGCGGTTCTGGACGTGGATTGACTCTGATGATGATGATATGAAAAGCGACGTTGGTGGAGAGGAGAAGAGAACATGGGCGCAAGCTTAGTTACTAAGGCAAGGTAGGACTCACCTAAACGCGACGAAAAGGCTGGGGGCAAAAGGCGGCAAAACACGGCAGAATGGCCAGATCGAGAAGGTGCCCCGGATCCCGCTATCTCGGGCGCAGAAGCTGCTTCGCTAGCGTCACATGCGAACGCTTTCGCTTGCATTAAAGCCTACATAACACAACGTTACTGTAGCTGTAGCTACCTAGACTGGCAACTCACATGTAAATACGATCCAATCGTGATCCGATTACCTCGTACAAGAACCATTCATCCATTGTCATTACTATTACTTCATGGCCATCTATCAACGGCAACTTACATATGGAATGGATATCTATATCAATAAGCAGCTTCAAAAAAGAGGCTTCTTCATTGCGAAACCATAAGTCATTCATTTCGCCCAATCCCGCATCATCGTCATCATCATTGTATCAGCCCAACTTGACTCCCTTGTCAGTGACGCCCAACGCCTTGCTGTGCTGTGCTTTGCCCTGTATCATGTGCTTTGTGGAGAAGAATAAGAAGATCTTTTATCCATAACCCTACGGTTCCTCGAAAAGGACCGAGACAATTTCATCAATCATAGTAAATACGAGGTGTGCACTGCAGATCGGTTAGTTAAGCCCATACACGATTCATAGATAAAATCGAAGACTTACTTCAACCTTGAGTTGTTCAACGTTGCAAAGATACGACGACTGGCTGTTTGAGCATTAACTCTTCCAACAACACTACCTGCAAGATCTGGCACCAATGTGGCCAGCATCAAGCTCGCTTCGGTTCGTGTCTTTTTCTTTTCGGCAGCTGTTCGCGGCTTGCGATCTCGTTGTAACTGGCCTCCAGGCCACAGACTGTCCTGCACCAATCCAATGTATTTGAGAATGTTTTCGTCTTGAACAAGCATCTTGACATTGTCTCGCACTTTTCTCTCAATCGTACCACCAAGAAGTTGTTGCAGAACAACTACTACAGCTCTGCCACGGAGCCAATTGTTTCCCTTGTTGAGCTCAAAAATCTCAAGAAAGATGTCGCAGATCGGTTTGATGAACGGTTCAAGTTCCTTATTCTCAAATGCATTCAACTCTGCCTCAGCTTCAGCGGCTGGAAACGTATCTTCGTTAACATTAAGAGGAACCGCGTTGAGCTGGTTAGTAGCCGCTGCAATGAGATTCTGGCCAGCTTCAGATATCTGGTCCAAGACGGGAATATTTCCAAGGATGTCATCCATTCCGTCTGCAACAGAATCATACAACCGAGTCATCATGTCTTTCTTGTCTTCGCGATCCAAGATATCTTGGCCTTGTGTGATTACGCTTTGAGAAAGGAAGGCTCTGAGTTCTCGACTGCGGCAAACTTCTGGCAAGAGAAGTAGGTCTTGTAGATACTGCTCCAGGGCAGTTCGTCTTTTGCGTAAAAACTCGCTCTGGAATTTCATCACCATGCGCCGCCGAGGAAAGTCAAGATTCCGAACTGAAGGGTATCGGGACCGCAGCTTTTGGTGAAGTTCGTGGAACTCGCTGTATCGCCGCGAAATCACCCATGACGCCGCAGGCATCTGCTCTCCAGCATTTCTCTGGACTTCAATGACGTAGAGCGCAAACTCTCGACCATCTTCCTCTCTTCCCACTTGAATGGACTTGATTTTGATGGTTGAGCGGCCGTAGAGACTGTTGTCGCTCTCCTGGATCACGTACTGCTGCCGTTGGAGCTCCTTGCGCCTGATCTCCCTTTGTAGAGACGCTTTGGACTTCCTAAGAATGCGCAGCTCGGCAGTATTGTTTGTCAACTCTGCCTTTCGCGTCAACGATTCCACAACCGCTTCCTGCGCCACCAAGCGATCGATATCGTTTGAAAGAGCAGTGATGGCTTCTGCCAGTCCAAGGTCTCCTGGCGCTGCTTCATGCACTTCATCCTCGTCGTCAGGTAGTGGCCCATCATCTGGATCACCGTCGTCAGGAAGATCTTTGTTATTATCGCCAAATAGATCGTCATCCACAAAAACACCGATTCGAGAAGCCGCACTGACGAGACCAAGTGACGAAAGGCTTGGTTTCTCGCCTTCCTTGTTCGCCATGGCAGGTCGAACACCCATATCCAGAGAACCACGATGTGATTCGGTATCATTGCCTGAGAAGAGACTTGATGCATTATCATCAATACCACCAATACTGCTACCGCCAGGGCCGCCGAAAAGGGAGGCACGAAGAGCTTCAGCAGTTTGAGGACGATCATCCTCCATAATATCGGTAAAGGCCTGTTCAACTGCCTTGACAACTTGGGTATCTGGTACTTGCTGGCTGTTCGCATCTGGATCTAGACTCTGCACAGAATCCCCTAGTCCATCGGTATCAATGTCATCGTCATCGAATAGAGGATTCAAAGAGCCTTCGTCTAATGAGCGCCTAGCTCGATGTCCATGTCCATTGCCGTTGGAGGTCAAAGACTTAAGATCTGACGCGGATCCTGTACGTTTCCCAGCATTTGATAATTGAGGTGTCAGCCGCGATACTGGTCTTGGCTTTGCTGGCAAAGTCTTGATCGCTCGGTTGGCAGCTGATACCTGTGCTTGTGCTTGTGCCTGTGCTTGTGCTTCTGGCTGTGGTGTCGATCTGAGAGTCTGAATATTGGCTGCTTCTTCAGCTGCAAGACATTTGTAAAAGAGGTCCGACTTCTTGAAACTTTGAAAGAAGCGCGACCGCATTTCCTCTAGGACGGCGCTCTGGGCCTTCAAGATAGCCCGTCGCGCTCGATAGTATTGTAACGGGGTGGCTGACTTTCCTGCCTTGATGAACTCCTTGACTTCATTCCTCGAATGATCCGGGACCTTTAACTCTGGCCTCGAAAGATAGGCCTGGTTAATCTGTTGTAAATCCTGGCGGTCGGCATCAGTCCACATTGGCAGGGTTGACGGCAGCTCGTCATCTGGGCCATCATCTTCTAGAGGGTTTCGAAATCCGTCAACGACAAGCCAGAACTGCACCAGAGGCATGAGATTTTGTCGATCCATGTATTCCATAAAGTAAGAAAGCGCTGAAGAATCTCGCAGAATATCTACTAGTGGTGCACTCTCTAGCTTGGACTGCGAAGAAGAAGTCGATGGCAATGGCAAGAGACCAGGTGGACGACGTTCGCCACCAGCAGCAAGATGATTAACCCGTTGGTCTAGCAGCCTCTTTCCCATCTCCAACCGACGAAGATAAACCTGGTCTTGATTGTCTTCAAGAGAATCCCTCTTGAGTTGACTAGCGACTTCGCTACGAAAACGACGTGCGTCTGATAGGTTATTGACCTTGCGAATAGCACGGATAAACTTCTCGAACTTGCGCTCACTGTCTCCAGGAGCGACTCTGGGCATGGAAGCTAATTTGCTGGCTTTGGGCGTCGAAGGAGCATGCTGATCCAAAGCTGCTCGGAGCTTTCTCACGGTTGATCGATCCTGAAGCATTGAGCGGCCCATGTTCTCCATCAGTTGATTCCAAGTGTCGGGCTCAGAGAGAAGTTGAATCACAGGGAACAGAACGGCGCAAGCGACAATTTCGCGAATAATAATCGATACAGCTCGACTGGAAAACATGTTCTCAGGCAGTATTTGGGGTACAACCTTTGCGACAAGAGACCTAAGATAGTCCTGCTGGACCATCTTTGTGTCGGGAAACGACAAAGAAGCAGCTGGATGTAGGCGTCCATCACGAAATTTTGAAGCAATAGCTAGGTCCAGCTCTTCGGACTCAGTTACAGAACGATTTAGTTTCTTTCCCCGTACAGATTTCTCCGCTTCGTAGAAGTCTCGAAAGTGGGCGGTGAGGAGAGGAACAAGACGGCTAGTGACGAGCTCCGCCAGATCCTTATGACGAAGGAAATCAGTCAAGCTCAGCAACGCCTGTCGCACCGCTTGATCGACTTGGTTCGAAAAGGACGGGTTGCGACTAATATTCGAGTACCAGCTATTCACAAAGTCCCGGATTATAAGGCCAAGTAAGTTGTCGATAGCTTCGGAAACGCGGGGTGATTCGGGGTCTATTGGAGTCGGAGTATATGATTGTCGCTGGCGCAGTGCCTGCACCTCTAGTCGCCATGACTTCTTATCGAGGAAAGTAACGCCGTGTGGTTGTAGTATTCGATCGCTTGGCCGTCGTGATACGAGAAAGAGACCGGCTAAGAGGGCGACGAGGGTGACAAGAGAGCCAGCAACAAAGGCATGGCCTGCCCAGCGGAGGACAGGTGACCAGCTGGCAGCAAAGCCCCAGGCTATGAAGGCGGCGAGTCCAGCAACAATGACATCTCTACGCTTGAGGGCCATCACCAGGATGTTGACCTCAAAGCCACATTCTTGAACGAAGATGGATTGGATGTAAGTGGTGAAGTTGGTGGTGCTCGGTAGTGGAGGTGCCGTTAGGTTAGGTGAGGTGGCTGTCGATTACAGTGGATGCTGTCATTTTGATGGACCCCTGTCAAAATAAGGTGGTCTGCGGGACAAGGAACCCTTGCCAGCACCCGCCAGAGACGAGTGACATTACCTACAGGTACAAATAATCACCTATCCAATATCAAGAGTGTCCAAATGTTATGGTGTTGTATTTTTCTAAGTAAATCTACATGTGCTTTCTTGTGAAGTTACCAGCGGAATACTGCAGGTCCATCGAGTGAATTGGAGCTCAACCATGCATTCTTTCTGATCATCATACATTATTGTTCGCATAATGTTTCAAGAGATATTTAAAGCGTCTTGTGAAACGATATAGCATTAAAGTTGTCATTGACTCTCAACTACCACGGAGGATCCTCTAACCTCCGGAACAACGCTACAAACTTCTGTCCGTTATTTCTCGTAACCTTCTTACTCTCCTCAGTCTCAGTCGACATGACCTGGACACATTCATCCGCCTCTTCTTCCTCTTTCGAGATCCTCTCGAAAGCAGGATGAGCCTCAAGGTGCTGAACCATCCACAAGTGCAAGTCCTCGACATCGGTGATGGTATACACAATACCTCCTGGTCGTAGCGCGTAAGCGTACTCAGAGTTCAACGTCGTCGATACAATTCTGGCCTTGTGCTTCCTGGCCTTGAAGTGAGGATCAGGGAAGCAGATGAAGATCTTGGATAGTTGAGCCTTCTTGAAGAAATTTGGGAGGAACTTCATAGTGTTTGCTCGGATGCAGCCCACGTTCTGATACATGTTGTCTGAATTTTGTGATCGCAATGCCTTTATACGCTCTTGAACGTAGCCTGCTACTTGTGTACGGATTTCCAGGCCTATCTTAATTAGTACACACTTATCCCAAAGTCAGTTTGTTCCACTTACCTAGTGTGAGAGTATCGGGTAACTTGGGTGCTAAAGCAACGAGAAGACCTCCAAATCCACAGCCAATATCGACAATTTCCACATCTTTTGTCAGTTTAGGAGGCTTTGAGGGATCCTCTGGCGTTCCCTCCTGGACATAGTGTGGAAAATATGAGGACCAATCCATATCATCTGGTGATTCGGGGCTAGGTTAAGTTAGATACAATGCAATTGATATGAGCCAGAGCACATACTATTCTAGCATATGGTCAGAGAAAGGATTTGCGTGCGCTCTTTGGCGATAGAACTTTTTGCGCGGTAGTTGAGTGACCCCATCTTTCGTCCTCTTTGCGCGATCCCTCTCACGCTCTTTTTGCTTACTTGTGAGCTCTGCTGTCATGGTGGCTGTTGATGCTATTCAGTTGGTGCTTGTCAATTTCTGGTGATAATTTGTGAAGTTGATGCGAATGAAGCTTTGCGGGTGGCAGAATGATCCACACTGGGCAGGCGGTGTAATGATCAGAGCATTGGCCTTGCACATGCCAATTATGTGACGGAAATAAACCCTGTTCGTTGGACATTGGTCATGGAGCTTCGACCTCCATCCCTGAAGGCAGCCTCGGAATCTGTGATTTTACCATCCACAACATCACACGTTTCCAAGTCATGAGCTTTTTTACTTCAAAGCAAGCTGTAGCGCTACCCAGATTGCCCCAGATGTCCTCCGACGCATCATGGAACTTCTTTGGTCCTTTGATGACCGAGTACTCCTCTATCGTTAACCTGATCTCTCTTGTCTGTGTAAGTGATGATCGACCGAGTTTGCCCTGGGCTTGTGACTGATTTACGGATAGCTCGGCCTTGGTCTTATGCTATTCATACCTGTTCTTCTCCTCGTGATCTTCGACCTCTTCCTTTGGATGTGGAGGAATATCAGTAACAAGAACCCACCTTCAATTGTCGATTCCGAACCCGATAGCATTGTCACTACGAATCCACACGCTGCTGCAATAGCGACAGGAATAGACAAAGGGTCACTTTAATTATGATAGAACACAACGAACTGGAAATACGTGAAATCTTCTTGGGGCTTCAAACTTAAAACTTTTATTTTGGCTATTCAATATGGACTTTTATGCAATTTGCGACAGGACCTTGATCAGATCAGCTGTCACTCCCATGGCGGTCACATCACCTCCGGCACCAGCACCCTGGACAATCAGAGGGTTGCTTCCATATCTCTCAGTGTAGAAGCTGATAATGTTATCACTACCCTTAAGAGCAGCAATGGGGTGCGAGCGGTCGAACTGCTCCAGGCCAACCTTAACCTGCTTGGAAGCAGCATCAATGCTACCAACAAATCGGACAACCTTACCAGCCTTCTCAGCGGCAGCCTTTGTCTCCTCCATCTGAGAGTCAAAGGCGGGGAGCTTCTCAAGGAACTCGTCGCCGCTGGAAACAGACTCGAGCTCCTTGGGAATGAGGCTCTGCACGGGGAAAGAAGTGGGGGACTCAACGGGGATGCCAGCCAGACGGGCGAGGATAGTCAGCTTACGGGCGACATCAAGACCGTTGAGGTCATCTCGGGGGTCAGGCTCAGTGTATCCCAAGGACTTGGCCTTCTTGACCTCCTCAGACCACTTGCCGCCCTGGCCCTCGGTGGGCGCAAAAGAGTTGAAGAGGAAGGACATGGTGCCGCTGAAGACACCCTCAATCTTGGTAACCTTGTCACCAGTCTCGACCAAGTCCTTCAAGGTGGAAATAACGGGAAGACCAGCACCGACGGAAGACTCATGGTAGACACGGGCTCCAGAGGACTCGGCAGCTGAGAAGATGTCCTGCCACAACTTGTATGAGCCTGAGAAGGCCTTCTTGTTGGGTGTAACGATGCTGATGCCTCGGCTCAGAGCAAGAGGGTAAAGTTCCGCAACATCCTGAGAGCTGGTGTTGTCGACAAGAACGCTTTTGGCGGGAGCCTTGGCCAGGTACTCGACGACCTGAGGGAGAGCGAGAGGAGCCTTGGTAGAGGAGCCAAGTGTGTCGATGACGTTCCCGAGGTTAATGGGAGAGTAGTCGTCGTTGAAGAGGGCTTTGCGGCTCGTAGCAATGTATGCGAGGTTCAGCTTCGGTGATGGCTTCCGAGCAGCGAGGGATTGGAGCTGGTCGATGAAGGCCTTGCCGACACCTCCGGCGCCTGTTGTTGGCAATCGTTAGTTTGTGGTGGTTTATAGTTTGAGGGTTTCGATTACCGATAATTCCAATGAAAACTTGTTTGGGAGCGGCCATTGTTGCTGTTATACTATGAAACTGTTGACGAAGCTTGTGAAGGAATAAAGTCAAGCTCCGATGGCGGGGCACTGAAGACGGTGATATGAGCATGCGAGATAACCCCGCGGTGGATTACCCTACAATATCGGAGACTTCCCAAGAGCAACCAATTGGGCAACCAATTGATGAGCCCACTTTGTTCATGATATCGACATGTTAGAGGATCATATAAGTGATAATAAAGCTCTGGATATATGGCAGATCAATTAAAGTGTAGTACTTTGATTAAGTCAAAGTTGTTGCTTCAGTACTGAACTTTGATTGCCTCAGGCTGAGTATGGATGGGCCTCGTTCATTTTGGGCCAGAGATAACATTGTTTTCTTCTTCATGATCAACGATTATCAGCCAGAAGAACATTCGCAAACCACACAACAAATTGAACAAGATGCCCCAAGATCCGAATTTGTACGGTCAGCGACCAGTCAAGAAGCAAAAGCGGGATGCAACATTAACAAGCTCGCTCGACTTCACTGCTCAACTGACATCACTGATGTCAAATAATTCATCAGGGGCACCATCTGCTGGTCGCGCACGCCCGCGCAAGGAAGGCAAAGAAGACATATTCAAAGGGACAAAACCTAAACGAAGCAAAGAGTCTCATGGATCAAAGAAGCTGGAGCTGAAGGAGATCACTGGCACAGAAGAGGAAACTCAGGAGTTGGCGCGAGCCAAGCGCAGAATGGAGGAAAAAGCACGGCTATACGCTGCGATGAAGCGAGGAGATTACGTCCCAAAAGAAAATGAAGCCGCGCCACTGATAGATTTCGATCGCAAATGGGCAGAAGGAGAAGAAGGGAAGGAAAATTATGAAACAAGCAGCGATGAAGACGGAGCCGACGACAGCGGCGAGATGGTTGAATATGAAGATGAGTTTGGTCGTCTACGAAAAGTTACCAAAGCAGAGAAGGACAGATTGGAGCGCAGAGCGCGCCGAGGTCTACTAGGAGCCGAAGAGCTTGAGCGCATGTCTGCAAGGCCAGCAGCGCCCAGCAATCTCATCATTGGCGACGCGATTCAATCGATGGCCTTCAATCCCGATGACCCGGAGAAGATGCAGGAACTGGCGCGGAAGCGAGACCGTAGCGCAACGCCGCCGCCAGCGCAGCACTACGACGCAGACTGGGAGATCCGCACGAAAGGCACGGGATTTTTCAAGTTCAGTAAGGACGAAGAGACTCGAACGGCGGAGATGGAGGGGCTCGCGGAAGAGCGCCGCAAGACGGAAGAGCAGCGTCGGGCCCGAGAGGAGCAGAAGGAGGCTAGGAGACGGGAGATTGAGAAGCGGAGGGAGGATATGGCGGCACGGAGGGCCAAGAAACAGGCTGATTCCTTCTTGGATAGGCTAGGGAATTAATGGCTGGTGTTCAGCTGAGGAATCAAGTATTGGAGGTTGGAATATGAGGAGGGAATTCCGTATAACGGAATTAGACATCAACGACATCGAGCGATATCCCAAAATGGTGGCTCCGCAAAACACCAAGCCAAGAAGCTTATACGAATTGAGTCGACATTTGCGCATCCGAAGTACATGAACAACCTTGAAAAAGGCTCAAGATGCTTGGTAAGAAATAAGAGTACCATCCACTTCTTGTTTAGACTAGCTTTGCGCAGCGTCTTAGCCTGTGATAGGATCCAATGGTTTACACTTCAATGAGGGTGTTGCCAGAACCAGGAACCTGACACGGATACGCAGAAAAGAAAGCGAATTCTAGGACATTCCCATGAATCCCATGTATGCACTGTGGAAAGGCAGAATAGTAATACGAGTGGGCTGAATCCTTCGATCTCAGCCCATGCAGGCAAAATGTTGGCTTATCGATGGTTCGAGGTTAGGGCCGCCTCCCTGGCTCAGATACGAATCGCGATGCCGCGACTAACATGGAAGAAAAGACGCATTTCTTCAGGCACAGTGTGATATATTTGAAACATGCGTCACTTTCTCATTTCACTTACTGTATTGTGGCCGGCTAGGACGGTTGCGACTGAAATCTCGGGAAATTGATGAGGGAAAAAAAGCCGCCAACATTTTTTTCAACCGATCATCGCAGCGATGCATGGCTGTATGGATGGACGTGCCGGAGGCAGACTCGAAGGCGGAATGAGAGTTCTGAGACACCAAAATGGAATGGACTAATTAGAGATGCATGAATGAATGCGCGGCTGCGTCGAGTCGAGTGCCCCTGAAAGAGGATTCGTTGTCCTCTTCATCATCGTCCTCGTAAGCTTCGCTGTTGCAACAATGTTCATGTGTCGTGGACGTCTGAACTTTGTGATGGCGGCTTCGGTACCCGTTCTTAGACGCTGATTGGTAGAAGCCATTCAAGCCAACAGGGCAGAAAAGTAATTCGGCCAATTGGGGCTTTGGATGCAGGGGCACTGCTTGTTGCTTACGGGGGGGCATTCGTTAGTTCAAGCCTGCGCCAGTATGCATCCAGGTCTCTGGGCGCCAGAAGACTTATGACCTAGCATCAAGGTGAGAAAATAAACTGGTCAAAGAGGAAGCTAAGTTCATCATAAACTACCTAAAGATTTTAAAATATTGTCTAAGCCTTTTTGTCACTTTGAACTTAAGTCTGAAGTTTTCTGCCACACTCTAGCCAGGCAACGCAACACAGCAGGACAGCCAAAAGACGGGGAAGAGACTGAGAAGTGGCACAGGTGAAGTGGCAGAGCACAGCAAACACACCGAAGGCGCCCCCTTGAGGCTTGCCAACTTGTACCAGTTGCAGAATGCACCTCAGTCGTAGTCCCAGTTATGGTGGAGGCTTGGTGCCTTTACGCAGGATGCGCCGTCTCAGAATTGGTTGCACTCAAGAAATCGGCCAGTCCTAATAAGGTTGGCGTAAAAAAGTGTGACTCATTGCCCGGACCCATGTCTGTCCGAAGGGCGCGCTTTTGGAGCAGTACCTGAAGGCACAAGTTGTCAGCTAACGCGAGACCTCTTCACCCAAGGCAGAAATTGTTAGTGTCAGACCATGCCCCATTATTCCGGGCTTGTACCTACAGCGAAAGCGCACAAACCTTGCCAGATTGCTGCCTGAGAAATACAAATTGTCTCCATCTTCCCGTCCTCAGGCCTCTTCTTCTTCTCTTTTCTCTCCACCCCCAAATCATCATCACAATACAATATCATCAAGAGTTTCACGCCTAAGGCGATCGTCAAGATGTTCTAAACCACCCCTTCCCCCGTTATTCCCAAGTCCTCCGTCAAAATTACGTCCCAGGACCTTAACGTATCAATCCCCACTCAACCACCTCGTTCAGCTCACCTCACGGTCGACCTGAACTCTAGCCCTGCTTTGAATAGCTTCAGCTCAAGTTCTCTCACAACCGCCAACATTTCAGTCCAAGACTTCCCAGTCTTCACCACGGATCCCCAGTCACCATGGCTTCCCTCCACGAATTCCAGCCTGCCGGCACAATCCGCGCAACAGTTACAGAGTCCCGAATCACCACAACAGGACTTTGTCTTGTTCGATCAACCTCAGCCCCCTAATCGGTCAACTACCTCGCTGCAATCTCAGCGTCGTCACTCGTCTCATCTGCACAATCGTCACCAACAGCCTGTCTCCCCTGCTGCACAGAATCAACGAGTCGCCCAGTTGCTCCAGGCTTTTGGTCATTCTTCGTCTCCTGTAAACCGTCCTACGAATCAGTTTTACGCCTCTTCGGCTCCATCGTCATCTACCGCTTTGAATAAGCAGAATCGTCCTGCTAGGCCTCCAGTTCCTCTCTTTTCTCAGAGTACAGGAAGTGTCCCGCGACAAACCGCCAAGATGATGAACGCTGCAGGTTTGTGCACCCGTGATCTGACTTGTAGTACCACTAGCTCACCGATATCAGACGTCGAACTTCCTGAGGAGTTTACCGCCTTCGACGGCGGGGCCAATACGGCTTTCTCTTCACCTGCTGTCCCCTCTGTCTTTGACTTTGGCGGCAGCTCTTCCAGCTCTATTGGCAATCTGGCGACTATCTCGCCCCAAGATCTTTTTGCTCATGATTCTTTCATGTCTGCACCTAACTCGTCAGCTCTGACGGCCTTGACTTCACCATCTATCTACAACGAGTCCCCTGAGTTCGATGGATACGATGTGTCTCCAAACTTTGGCAGTGCCGATTTCGACGGTGCTGCAGACCCTTGGTTTCCCTTGTTCCCCCAGGACAACAATGTTGCTCCTGCTCAACCAACTAGCGTTGAGAACTCACCGGAGCTTAAGTCTGATGAAGTCGACTCAGACAACCAGTCTTCTGCTCCTAGTCGCCGTAAGTCGGGTACATCTCCTTCCACTCGTCACTCTTCTGTGGCTGGTGTGAACGCCCGCAAGCGTGACAAGCCTCTGCCCCCTATCGTTATCGATGATCCTAGCGACATCGTCGCCATGAAGCGTGCTCGCAACACTCTTGCAGCACGAAAGTCTCGTGAGCGAAAGGCTGCGAAGTTAGAAGAACTTGAGGAAAAGATTGCTAAGCTGGAAGCTGAGCGCGATCACTGGAAGAGGATCGCTCTTGCGCAAACCGGTATGCAATAATGGATTAAAAGTGGAATTTCTTTCTTTTGCCAACACGGGATTCCGTTGGTTTGTTATTGTGTTTTAATCAGGTTTCATTGATTCTCATTCAATCAGTTAATCAAATTGTTTCTATCGAATATTGTGTCTTTACATGTGAAAGTGCTTTCATAACATAGTCCGTGTCCATGATCAACATAAGCTCTGTACGTAGGAAACTCTTGCCACTGGACGTGCAAACCCGTTGAAGTTGATGCGTTACTCCGTTTCGTTGCCAGAGGTCCCGCCATCTGTCTGTCAAACAGATGAATCACATGTCAGAAGAGAATATCGTGTGCCCAGGAAGTCTTGGTCGCTACTTTAAACTTCGTAGTAAACGAATAATTGGTGTTGAGGTAGAATATGTTAATAGGGCTGACCAATGCATGTTGAATGCGTTTATTCAGACTTAACAAGTCAAGTGGCAAACTTGGAGACTTGTGAAACAGTAGATCATTTATCAACGTTAATAATGGCACTGAGCTTAGTCAAATCACGTCAAGATGCAGTAAGCCTTATTGCAATGGATGGACAGCTGCATTGTATCGCCCACCGGTCAAGCCGAGATAAGCATGGTGGCTAAGCCCTGTGATCACCGGTTTAAGCTTATGGGCTAGCGGTTCATTGGTGTCTTATTTCTTGGCGATATCCTTCGGCGTCCAATCTATGCAAGGCGTTTCTTTCACCTCTTGAGGTAGAGCTGGACGTCATCCTCCAGGCTCGTGTTACAGCAATAAACGCATGCCGGCACTCGACTTATATCCGCCATAGTTAGTTCGGCTTCCTCAACCTTAAGCAGACGCTGCCAACTCTGCCAACTCTGCCAAAGAATATACTCGAATTTGCAGTGTTTATGTAAATCATTATTAATGTTTTGTGCCAATGGTGAAGATGATCCAGGGGTTGAAAAGTCCGTCAAGGACACCGGAGGTTGAGTTAACAGAAACGGTCAGTATCTGAGCTTCAATGCCAATATGTTTGCGCCGTTCTCACATTGTATACAGTCCTGTGGTAGCCAGTCTCCCGATTCTCAAGAGTCGATTGGGTATGAGCGTGGTTTTGAGAGAGATCTCGACGTAACTCAAGATGATTTGCTCGAAGCACGGGAGGTTGCGTCTACTTCATCTCTCGAAGATGTTCACAAAGTACGTTTGGATATCTGTTTAGGCTTGATGGGAACCTAACAGCTTCTAGACGATGAAGAAAATATATAAGCTTCATAAAAGAGATCCCAACTTTCCCCTTTCTGTCATTGAGAAAATTGAAGTATTCCTGAGTATGGCACCCTATAAGTATTTGACGATCGCGTACTCATATCGAACAGATATCGATGATATCCTACAATATCCAGAGCGTCACGAAGCTCTGATCCAAGAAATCAAGATCGAAGCAGCACTCATCACACACAACTCACCATATGCTGAAGTCAGAGCAATAGTCAGTAACCGCGATGACCCCAGCATGCCGTGCTCCACGATCCGTGCTTGGTTCGTGGGCCTCAGCTTCTCATGTGCTGTGTCCTTCATCAACAGCTTCTTCGAGATCCGTCAACCAATGATCAGTGTCAACACTGTTGTTCCTCAACTCTTGGCCTATCCCTTTGGGAAGTTTCTCGAGAAGATTCTTCCTGATATTGGTGTCACTGTGTTTGGTGTACGGCACAGTCTTAATCCTGGGCCCTTTAATAAGAAAGAACATATGCTGATTACCATCATGTCAAGTATATCGATGGGGACACCGTATACAAATTACATCGTTTGGATACAGTATCTTCCATTCTACTTCAATCAGCCTTACGCAATAAGTATCGGATACCAGATCTTGCTAGGTCTTTCCTCTAAGTTCATCGGTTATGGCCTTGCTGGTATCTGTAGACGCTTTCTCGTATATCCGTCATATTGTCTATGGCCAACAACATTGGTGTGTATCGCTTTAAATACGGCATTGCACGACGAAGCCGACATGCCCGTTCCTGGCCCGCTCAAGAAGATCTGGAACACATCCCGCTTCAAATTCTTCAGCATTGCGTTTGGAGCGATGTTTGCTTACTTTTGGCTTCCGAATTATCTATTCACGGGCCTGACTTGGTTCAGTTGGATGACTTGGATATCCCCGAACAACCGCGATCTAGCAACTATAACTGGGGGACACACAGGTCTCGGTCTCAATCCCTTCCCGACGTTCGACTGGAATATTGTCACGATGGGCTGTGACCCGCTCATGGTCCCATTCTTTACCACCTTCAACCTGTTCTGCGGTACAATGCTGTCCTTTTTTGTCATTCTAGGAGTCTACTACGGAAACGGCTACTACACATCTTATCTCCCTGTCAACTCAAACCGTGCATTCGATCATTTCGGTGGACTTTACAATGTCTCAGCTATTATAGATGAGCGTGGGATATTTGATCCCGAGAGATACGAGGCATACTCGCCTGCGTTTCTCACAGCGGCTCATCTCGGATCATACATGATGTTTTTCGCCATGTACACGGCTGCTCTCACTTATGGTGCGCTTTATCACCACCATCAAATAGCGTTAGGTTTCAAGAGCTTCATCAACAGCTTTCGACCTTCTAAGAAGGAGAACACAGAAGATGGGCAAGTGTCAGATGCGCACAATCGTCTTATGAAGACATATCGCGAAGTCCCCGAATGGTGGTACTTGGTATGTCTTGTGTTGGCCTTCATCATTGGAATCGTCGGCATTTCTCAATGGCCTACACACACTACACCAGCAGTTGTACCCTTTGGCATCGTTCTGAGTCTCATCTTTGTTGTACCAATTGGCATCATATCAGCGACCACAGGCATTGCCGTCCCGCTCAGCGTGATAGCCGAGTTTCTCGGGGGCTCCTTTGCCGAAGGAAACGCCATTGCATTGTGCTTCTTCAAGACATTTGGATACACGACTTGCGCCCAAGCCATATACTTCAGTGCAGATTTGAAGTTGGCACACTATATGAAGATACCTCCACGCTTCACTTTCTGGGCGCAGATGGTACCGACGCTTGTTTCCACATTCGTTTCTGTCGGTGTACTTCAGTATCAGATTCACTTGGAGGGTGTGTGTACGCCAAATGCGCCTTATCGCTTCACGTGCCCTGGTCTGAACAATTTCTTCACAGCTGCTGTGCTTTGGGGAACTATCGGGCCTAAGAAGCTCTTTGGCCCTGGAGGTCAGTATGTCGAGACCCTGGTAGGCTTTCCCTTTGGTGTCGCTTTGGTTCTGCTGTTTTGGTGGCTTGGGAGACAGTACCCAAATAACAAAATCATTCGAAGCACTCATCCTGTTGTTTTCCTTGGAGGCGGTATGGTTTGGGCGCCATATAACATCAGCTACATTTGGCCAGCTGTGCCGATTGGCTGGTTCTCTTGGATGTACATTAAGAAGCGATATCTCGCTTTCTGGGCAAAGGTAAGTTTACTGAGCAGCTTATGCAGTGATATCCTAACAACAAACAGTACAACTACATACTTTCGGCAGCTTTCTCGGTTGGCGTTGCTCTATCGGCGCTGATCATATTCTTTGCTTTACAATATAACGATATCAATCTAGACTGGTGGGGAAATAAAACCCCGTTCGAGGGATGCGATGGAACTCAGTCGTGTCTTCTCAAGACAGTTACTCCTGGAGAGTATTTTGGACCTCGATTAGGGAAGTTCCACTGAAAATAGGTTGGATTGACTTAGGTGTGTACCTATGGATAGGCAAAGTGACATTATGGAGAATAAGAATCGCTTGCGCAACGGGATCTTTATAGAAAAAAGTGTGCTAGTAACTCAGGTGGTATATACAAAATACAAAACGCCTCGCCTAAATATAAAAAACCCAACCCTCAAGAGCTTTATCTATGGCTCTTGCACCTAATAACCACATTCGTTCGGAGGCAGACAGTCCGGGTTAAAGCAAGACAAATCATACCACTGCCAAGGTGTATCATCCTCGTCATCACGCCCCTGAACCGCATCAACAAACTCACAGAAAGGCTGGTTCAAGTCATGCTCTCTGTAACCGTAAACAACAGCCTTGCACCCATCAAACTTAGCGCAGCTCTCTCCACACGCCTCGACACTGTCTGAGTCACCGTACCCAAGAACTTTTGCTTTCTTGCCGTTGCGATGGCCAGTATGACCGCAGTCTGCGGGGCTGGGCGGGTCGTTGCGAATGGTGTAGCGGAAGCAAGTTGGGCGCGGGGGAGGGGATGTGGTTGTTGAGCACTTGGTGGATGTCGTGCTTGAGAATGTTGTAGGAGACGATGTGGTGCATGGAGTGGAAGTTGGCGATGTGCTGGTTGAGATGGTGCATGGGGTGGTAGAAGATGCAGATGTTGATAAGCTTGATGAAAACTCAGAGCTGATCGTGGAAGTAGAGCAGGGTGATGATGTCGATGACGCATGAGATGTGATTGATGAATCCGACGTTGTGGTAGTTTCGCAAGGTGTTGTAGTGCTAGGTGACCCGGGATGAGATGTTGTGCTGGATAAAGTGGAAGAAGAAGTCTCGCACGGAGTGGTGGTAGAGGAAGCTTCAGATGTAGTTGACCCTGAAGACTGAGAGGTTGAAGTAGCAGAAGTGCTAGTCTCACTTGATGTCCAAGTGGAAGAGGTCTCGTATGATACTGTTGAGGTTGTGCTGGGGGTGGAAGTTGAAACTGCGGAACTACTTGTCTCGCTTGTTGAACTGGCGAAAGACTCAGACGATATTGTAGAGGATGTGCAAGGCACCGAAGAAGTTGAGCTCTCAGACATAAAAGAAGACTCGGAAGTTGTAGTCCCGCTAGTAGAGGCTGTAGAGCTTCCAGATGACGTTGACATATCAGAAATTGAGCAAGGCGAAGTAGTTCCCGAAGATTCTGTTGTCTTAGATGTCTCATATGTAGATGAGCTCCCTGTAGTGGAAGAAACCTCACTTGTAGCTGAGGATGCTTTAGATTTCTCGGAGCTGGTGCAAGGGAATGTTGTTTCCGATGACTCCGTCTTGGAGGTTTGACTGCTTGTTTCTGTTGTCCTACTTTCAGTTTCTGTAGAGCTGAGAGTAGAAGATTGTGACGTAGTGCTTGAAGAAGCTGTGGTGCCGTGTGTGACAGTGGTGCTCACTGTAGCTGAGCTGCTATGAGAGTTCGAAGAAGTCGACTCCGTTGTTGAATAAGATTTTGTAGTCGATGAAGCGGTGGTCACGCTCGTAGTCTCAGAATTTTTAGTTTCAGTATGTGATGTAGACGAAGCCCCAGAAGTTATAGAGAGTGTAGAAGTTTGAGTGCTGCTGGGACATGGAGTAGATGTAGTAGTATAAGTCTGGTGGGTTGTGCTAGAAGCACTGATAGTTGTTGAAAGAGTAGACGTTTTGGCCTCTGTTGTGGTACAGGTTTCCTTCGTGGTGATTGAAGTGTCCTTGGATTTTGTGATGTGACTGTTGGTTGTGGTAGTGACAGAGTATATAGAAGACAAGGAAGAAGTGCTGCATGGTATAATTGTGGTGCTCATGCAAGATCCATGAGAAGTTGTTGAAGACTTTCCAGTACTGATAGAGATAGTAGACTCAGTAGTAGAGGTCTTGGAATGAGTGGAAGATGCAGTGCTTGAGTCCAAAGTTGGACCATGAGAACTAGTAGAACTACCAGTGGCAGTTGAAGAAATGAGAGTTCCAGTCTTGGTGGCAGAAGACTGGGGTACAGGATATGTAGGCACACTGTAAGGTGGTACACTATAAGTTGGCGAGCGACGAGGTTTACAAGGCCCAGCCTGAACGTTAGCGATGCTTGAAGCAGCAAGCAAAAGAATGAATGACTTTGACCAGGCCATTTTGAAGAATTGAATGAGTGGATGTGAACCGGCACAATGAGCGAGTGGATAAAGGACTGACACTGCAACAAACAGCCCAACTTCCGCTTCTTATATATTGTATTCATATCAAGCTCGCTCTCTATGACACCAAACGACCTACATCATGTCCCTTCTAGAATAAATCCACCGTTTTATCACGTTTGCCCAAATCCGGCGTTTTCTCAGCCCAGACGTTACAAATAAAACGGCGCTCCCCAATAGAACGTCACCACCCCTGACGCTAGAAGCCAACGGTCCTAAACGCCACGATCTGCCCTTGGTGGCGTTAACATCTTCAACCGTTCTAACAGTTTAGCGGTCTCATGGTGTAAAACAGAGGCTTTAGACTTTCTCAGCGAGTGGGTATGACGCTATGGAGCGGTGTATCAAAGGAGCAAACGAAGTGGTTTCGCCTGGCAAGTTGCGGTGTAAGAGGTTGGTGGCGTAGCAGGATATAGGGACTGCCATTGCACACGTTGGGAAAAGTCGTCCGCCACTGAGTCCATAACGATGGTTTTGAATCGAGAGGTTGTTTCCACTTAGGTATTCTTTGGTCTTATGATGTGTTGAATTTGTCAAATGGAGGCTATAATGGGTCTTTTGTTTGGTAGTCAGGGGTCACAAGATGGGACTGGGCTGGAAAGGACGAACGTCAGAGCTAAGAACAGCCGAACAGAATCGGACATGTACAATCATGATTCATGTAGTTGCCATCTATAGTCTGCATGATCGTGACATGTTGTGACAGGCAGGGGTATCTGATCCGTTCCGCCGGGACTGAAGAGTTGATCGCACAGACAGGTCTCGGGATGTGACAACACTCTGCAGCTTGGCAGTAGTGACAGTGTTGTATCTTTAAAGAATACTTGGAAAAGAAAACAGGAAGACATTGTTATGTACTGCTCTCTAGTGTGTTAAAAAAGACGTCTCTCGTGAGCATACAAGCGAGTGTCATCGGTGTATCAGCAGCAAACAAGCCACGAGCTCTAGAGACACAACACGTCATGCAATGAAGCAAAAGATTCATCTGTCAGGAATGTTGATTCTGATAGTCTTCAAGGCTCAGTGGCTCATGGTCCTTGCTCATGCAGGACGGTCCGAAATCTCCAACCCTCCCGTCATCAACACCATCTTAGTTCATGCACAGCACAGACTGAAGGCGTCACAACACTCATAGTCTGTGTGCTATCAATACTAGTACCTTTAGTTACTGTGCCTTATGCAGCTGCTATCGAAGCTAGGCTACATGCAAGTGTGCAGTAGTCTCCGTCCCGAAAATCTGGTCTGCATGAGGCGGCGTCCAGCTTTCAGTCGGCAAGCCAAGCAGGAGATGTTCACAAGAACTAGCCTCCCAAAGATGCTGAGATATGGAGTATTGGAGAGGCTGTTGATTGGTAATACGTTGTGTGATTGATATCTGTCGACGTACTGATGCTTTCAGCCACCTGACGAAACCTGTCACGGCACTCGCTTGTAACACTGCCGCTGTCCTATCTACGCAGTGAAAACTTACTCAATTTGATCATCAATACTTTTTTAGCTAGTGAAAAGGTATCGTACTACATATATTGTGTAAGTATTCCTGTTATCCTACACCGAGTTCTTCAGCTACCGGTCCAATGTATCTAGTGCGTTCGATGAGCGATGCGGTGCTCTTTGAGAAATACACCACGTTGAAACCTTAGGGAAATGATTTCGTTCATAATTTATGTATTGAAATGTCGTTTTAAATACGTATTATCTTTATGAGTGAAGTAATATGGTTTGACCTCTCCTTAAAAGTGATTGAGTGATCTTGCTTCTGACTTAGTCATGATATGACCGAAATTCATTGCCCGCGGTGCTTTGTTTCTTTGTTTCATTTTTTTTTTTTTTTTTTTTTTCAAGGCATCGTTACCATTCAGATCTTCTCTACTCGGATGTAGTCGTGTAGGAAGTTCCTAGCCTCCTATATAGTCCAGAGCTCAAGACTCCGAAAGAATGCCTCTCAGCAACATCAATCGAGCCAACATCATCCGATGTACCGGTAATAATCGTACACGGAATTCGAGCTCATTAATTTCATGTATAAATAGACTGACACTCATACTACATTGTCTAAGCGAAATGTCTGGCGCACTACAAATCTACCGTAACATCGTAATTTTGTGCATAGCTACTATTTGTAGTCCCAAGACACTCCTCTGATGAAGATTACAAACAGATCCGTGAATGAAGGCACTGGCACTGATGACGAATATCAACAGTGATATCGAAGCTACTACAAATATATGTTCAATACTATTTACATATGATGGCCTCCGTTGCCATCAGGTATAAGGAAAGCCTTGTCTGGCGTACCCAAGAGCGATGCAACAATACACGATGTCTCGTATCGACTGCTTGACGAACTTTAATCATACTTTCGGATGAATGAGCATTAGCTTCTCAGCTCAGTTCAGTGCAACATAGAACGGTGCAACCTTACCATGATTGTCGTTTCCCGCCGTTGTATCAACCATCATTGCAGATCATATAAATTAAGGGATGTTACGTTGATGTTACTTCAAGCTGGCTCTCGACCACTGTTAAGTGACACAACTACACACTCACAATTATATGCCAAACTTTCATGTCCTTCACTCCAGCTGTTTTCCTTACAGGCAGAGGCGCCGTGCAACTCACTGCATCCGTATCTTCGACAGGAGTTTTCGAACTTTAGGGTAGCAAGTTATAAATGAAGATTCACTAGAGCCATCGCTATACGACGCACTATTCGGTGATGTAGTTATTGCTCTAATGATTGGAGCGGTAGCGTATACTTCACATTTAGGAATACTAAGGGTTCCAGAATAACACTAGGCCGAACTGTCACATTCATGCATCGTATGACCCGAGACAGCTATGGTCCTTCCTTTTTTGTAAGCGGAAGTCCAATGAGAGAGAGACTGGGGTAACGGATTGGTTGCCCGAAGTGAGGTTCCTTAACATTAATGAAATGAGGGTTTCGCATAATCACGGTTTCAGATAGATATCCCTTGACATGATATGATATCCTGGCCAAACAGCAGCCTGTGTCGAATGCGATACTGAGAAGGAGATGATACGAGGTGGTTTCGTCTCAGGTTACGAGTGCATGATTTCGAATAATAATTGAATCCTTCACGATGACATATTCAGCTTCAAAGCACTGACATGGGAAAAATCAATATGGAACATGATTTCACTAGGGCTGCATTTATTGAAGACTGTGTGTTAAGATCACCCGTCAGGGTTAAAGTGACAGGCAAGGTATTGGGTGTCAATGTCAATCATCTGGTGGGGAGGACCACAATGAGTTGAAAATATGGGGTTTTCGGACATCGGCTCTGTAATGAGGTCACCGGCCGAGCAGCTAGACGAGAAGCTGAATTGAATGATGAAAACATCACAGTAAAGAACGGAAGGGAACCGTGAAGGAACAGATACACGAGGTAGGAACCAGAAACGTCGAGAAAACCGAGATGATAGACATGTTCATGTCGATCACCTCGTGTCGGTGTAAATCAACGTGAAGAAAGTGGAAAACGTTAATCATTCGAATGGGGGAGAAAATACCGCGCGTCAGAACTCCCTTTGCTGAAGGGCAATCAATACTTCGATTGGATGGTTCGATGAACATCTCGAGACTCTGAAACTCAGGGTTAGTTTTGGACCAAGGGGGGCTTCGGCTTGGCACTGTGAGGAGAGTAAGGATCTGAGATAGACGGATGTGATGAGCAGAAGCAAAAGACAGGGCTTGAAATGAGGATTTGCAAAACATTCTTTTGTTGGGATGATGTTATCATGGTCCTGAGTCTGTCCGTCGTCTGTTGAGTTGAGTGAGTGAATTTGGAACACCGAGGTGATGAAAATTATCAGCCAATTTGGCATGACGCAGTTTCACTTGGCTGTATCGTACAAGGACATGTCTTATGCAAGCGGACAGAATGTCTCGCTCAAGATGATATATGCGACAGAGTGAAACAGAGGATTGAGAAGTCAGAAACAAATCAGAGAACAAGATGGACTTATAGGATCATACAATGATAAAACCTTAATAATGCAATTAATTAATGGCAGGCACAGGCATAACCCGCCCGCAATGACATTCAATGATCTTTCATCCCTCCTTCAGGGATCATCAAGCGCCCCCCCAGATCGAGCGTTGCAACGAGAGGGGCGGCAGGGCCTTTGATTCGAGCTCAAAGGCCCGGCTTGACCTAAACTCTTTGGAGGCCTAGAGCCCTGAGTGGTCATATGAGCGAGTAACTAAGCGGCAATTGGGCTGGGCGAGAATGCTCCCCTAACAAAAAATGGCCGACGGGACTGCCAAGGGCTAACTCAGGTAGGCCAAGGTGAAGAATAAAATTAGAACACGTTATCGAACTACGGACAGAGGCGATATCATGTGGCGGGCTGAGCCCAAAATTGTCCGGTGCAGTCCAGTATCATTGGTGTGTTATGCTTTGCTTTAGCTCTAGACCTCGTGATGAGGCTCGTGTCTTTTTCTCTTAGGGTTTTTGCTACATTTCTTTTTGCAACGTTACTGCTACTGTGCCAACATGGATTGACCAGACCAAGTGGGAAATAGTGACGTCGAGGCGGGTCAGAATCTAGTCTTTGATCATTGAACCATTCTATTTTGTTCTGGATCAACACGGACTCTCGGGAAAGATGGAGAAGAGACGAGCAGATGAAAGATGGAGAATGCATGCATGGGTTGATGGAAATTCGGCAATGAACCGGCTCAAGCGAGGGTGAATGTCCCTCTGACTACAGGGCAGGGCAGAAGCAATAGACACCATTGCCCTTGGCTTATCGCTTTGATAGTGCCAATGTTTGACCAAGAGAAGCAATTTGGGGGAATACGATGCGTAATCTGATACCCCAACCCAACAGTGAGTGAGTGAGTGACTTGGGCCTTGGGGTGCTTACTGCTAGTGACATACGCCAAGCAGACTATCTTGGTGTAATCTCGTGTTGCTTCTGTTACGGTCCATATCGAGAACGACCCAATTCAGTCTGTGAGTTCTCAAAAATACAGAACAACGCTGAGTGGAGGATGTGGAGGATTGCTAGTCAAACCAAAACCCTGGGACACTCTCCCTGCCATGCATGAACCAGATGCTGTGCGACACTTTCTGACAAGTTGACTCGAGAGGTGCAGCTCCAGCTCTTTCAGGGGTCCAGACTAGGCCGGAATAGCTCGAGATAGTCTGCGCCTCTCGTCTGGCATTACCCACCCTTTTCCATCCTGTCTCTGCCCATGCCATGGCCCCCTGTTCCCCCATTTCCCTTATCAGCACAAGGCGAAGGGCTAACGGAAAACTTGCCGAGCAATTCAATATCGTTACGAATCGTCAAATGAATCTGCATGTCTGTAAAAGGTTGGGGGGAGAGGGCTCGTATTTTTAGCCCGCTGTTGGAATTTTGGTAGTTATTTCCAGCCTCTGCCATGACTTTTTCCGAAACCAGACATTGAGGGAGTTTGACTTACGAATCTCGAGACGGTGCGTGTCAGAACAGGGTGATCGTCAGGAACTGCGTGCCTCTGACTGGCTGAACGAGTTCTGCTTAGGGAAAAGACTTGTCTACAGCTTCGTCATCGTAACATTCACACTCAAACTCGAATAAACAATTTTTTATAAAAAACAAAAATGATCTGAGAATTATACGAAAACTACAAACGTCATAGTTCGTTGATCTCCAGTGCCTCTCCACTCATTGCTACAGTCACAGCAGATCTCAACGGGTTGTTGCTCGAGTCCGCAGTGACTGATTGACATGGGGATCGACTTTTACCAAGAGGCTAAGAGTTATCGGTACGGGATATTGGCCATGTGAGAATTCGTATTGTGTCCAAGTGTGGATGCGAATTAGCTCAGGCGACCAAAAGCCAAGATTCAGTTTGCCGCAGTGATTCATCTCGCCAGTTTAGGTGATGCTATCTAAGAATTGTCACTCGGATGCACTGAACGGTAGATCGGCATCTCGTAGTGGGCTTTTCGAGCGAGTGCTTTGTGTTGATGCTGTGTTATCCTAGCCACAAAGAAAGTGGCTTACATCAATCAACTGTCAGCTTTTTCCAGAAGGCCCCCTCGCTACTGTACAATTTCTCATCAGCAACTAATAAGCACCTAAACTCACTGGCTCACAGTGAAAACCGCCGGTTCTGGATCGTGGCGGTTTTTTTTTTTGTCTCAGCCGCCAACTGCCTAACGCCTAGAAATGTCTTGTTCTTGGGTGAATCATGTCTCGCTCGAAACCGGAATCTCAGTGGAAAAGCCCATGTCCTGTGGCATGACAGGGGCACATGGATCAACAACGAGCCCCTAGCTGCCCCTAAGACAAACTTGGCAAGCTCCAGAGCTCGGCTTCCCTTGGCTGTCAGGGTCAGGGGTTGAGGCTCCTCCAGATCCACCCGGACCCGAAGCGCCTCTAGTCTAGAGACGTCTCTAGTCGTCTACAGGCGCCGAGACAGAGGGAGGGCGCTGCCATTAAAACATCACCGTCTCCATTCACTGACCTGAACCTCTTCCTCTCTCAGTTTCACTATCTTCATACCTTTTAATACCTCTTCACCTGCTTCAAGTAACCTCCGTTTACTCTCTTTTGCTTGCTATTATACTCTCGCTCAGGTATATACCCAAACCTATTACACATACAACTTACAAGTGGTCGTCATTCCATCACTCAAGACACCTCTTGATAACAACTCAACAATTTGAGATTTAAATATACTACAAGCATACAACAGCAATCACACATCACAGATACACGATACAATGTTCTCAAAAGCTTTCACTACTGCCGCCATGGCTCTTGCCTGTGCTGGTATGGTTTCTGCTCAGACCTTCACTGACTGCAACCCATTGAAGAAGAGTGAGTGAGCTTTTGATACAGATAACTGACAGACACTGACATTATCACAGCTTGCCCTGCTGACCCTGCTTTTGGCGATAACGAGGTCGACTGCGACTTGGCCAAGGGTGCATGTGATGCCTTCCACGGCATGATTGGAACCGAACTCAAGTACAGCGACCGTGGTGCTCTATTCCGCATCAACAAGGAGTCCGATGCTCCTACAATTCGATCCGACAATTACCTCTTCTTTGGCCGTGTCGATGTTGTTGTCCAGGCTGCTAAGGGCCAGGGCATCGTTACTTCCGCCGTCCTCCAGTCTGATGATCTCGACGAGGTTGACTGGGAGTGGGTTGGTGGTGACGATGCTCAGGTCCAGTCCAACTACTTCAGCAAGGGCGACACCACCACATACGACCGTGCTCAGTACCATCCCGTTGCTGCTCCTCTTACCACTACTCACAAGTACTCCATTGAGTGGACTTCCACCAAGATCGACTGGCTCATTGATGATGCCGTTGTCCGAACTCTGAACGCTGCTGATGCTAAGGGTGCTGCTGGTTTCCCCCAGACCCCTATGCAGGTTAAGCTTGGTACTTGGGTTGCTGGTGGAAAGAACAGCAACGAGGGTACCCGAGAGTGGGCTGGTGGCTACACCAACTTCGATGATGCCCCCTTTGATGCCTACTACCGCAGCGTGACCATCATTGACTACGCTGGAAAGGACGCCCCTGGCCAGAACAAGGGTGCTAAGCAGTACCTCTATACTGACAAGACCGGTGACTGGACCAGCATCAAGGTTGAGAAGACGTCTTCCGACAACGACGACGACAAGACCAGCACCAGCACCACTGTCTCCAAGGCTTCCAAGACCACCAAGACTGCTGAGCCTACCAAGACCAAGACTGCCGAGGCCACCACCTCCGCAGTGGAGACCACCAGCGCCGAGGAGTCCAAGACCAAGACCGCTGAGAAGGAGTCCAAGACTGAGTCTGCCAAGGAGACCAAGACCTCTGAGGTCGCTACCACCTTTGCCACTGCTACCAGCACCAAGGCCGAGGCTACTGCCACAGCCACTGAGGGTTCCGGATCCGAGTCTGGCGCTGACTCGGATGCCGGAGCTGCCACAGCCACTGGCTCTGGTGCTTCTCCCACTGAGCCCGCTACCACTCCCGTTCCCGTCAACTCTGGCTCTCGCATGGCCGGTAACATCGTTGCCGCCTTCGCTGGCCTCATGGTTGCCCAGATCCTCATCTAGATCTTCACTTCTGCTTCTACAATTACTTCTTTCGGGGTCACTGTAAGCATGTAGAGTTACACAACCTACATGCGGAAAGCAGACCATTCTAATTACCTTACTTCGAGTCGATCCTTACATGCTTGCCAAGGCAACCCAACCTTTTCATCACTCGGAAGTATTTTTTGGAATGAGGGAGACTTCATGACAAAGAAAGAGACGGGCAAAGGAAAAAGAAAACGCTAGAAAAATCATAACAAAAACAACACACATGGGAAAAGGGCTCTTGGCAAGCAAACATCACGTTTTTGAACAACAAACCTAGCGATTTTTAATAAGGACCTGCTCTCTTGAGCCCCGCCGAGACGAACGAAACTTGGCTTCAAGCCAAGCGTCTTGGCTCAATTTCGCCTTCCTGCTTGGGAGGGGAATTATGCACAGGGCATATGATGGATGAGCTTGTGATTTTTTGTACGAAAGCTTCAACTAGAGATGGACTATGACACATTGACAGAGGAAGACATGGCTTGGATGAATTACTACTTTGAATTGGATTGGATGACGCATTGCATATTATTAGATGCCACTTTTTTACGCACGATACCTTTTGCAGATAGAATCTGTTTTTTGAATGGAATAGAAGCAGCATATTTTGCTGAAAACATATTGACTTGTTTACTTTTGGTGATGTTCTTCGATGCAGGTGGGAGATTGAAAGAGTCTGGGCTGCATTCAGCCAAGCTGTTGGCAGCTTGTATTGGAGGGTTGTACATATGCAGAAGAAAGGGTGATATGCAAGGGCCGTGTAACAAAGAGGAGGTGTCATCAAGGGAGTAACACCCAAGATATTGCCAATGGTCAAAGAGCAAACGCCAAGACTACCGATCTGCTGAGTTGAGAATTTGGCGTACGCGTAATCTTGAGCTTATCTATGATCGTCAACTTGAGGGAAATTAGAGTGCTTGGCTGATTGTTTGGGCTGTGAGGGTGTGTTGGAAATGCGGCTGGCTGAAGGGAGTGAGACATGGCTGTTGTTGTTTTTGGTTGAGCCGCATATTTTACTGGAAGTGCTTCCAATTGGGTCTCATTTATTCGACGTCTTTGCTTCTGGTGCTAAGATCACGATTGCTCAGGTGTGAAAGTGTAAGCTGACAGCTGCACAATTACACTGCATCCATGCATGATTCAAGGTTTATCGCAAAAGGGATAAGCGCAAGGATTCCCCGTGTGGGTGGAGCGGATATGCAGGTACCCAAAAGGCTATCGCCATTCAGTATAAAAGCTCACTTGCATCCCTGCAACGTACCCGAAACTTACACCAGATATTCCCTTTCAAGGTGGCATAGAAATCAAGAGCTGATCCCTTATAAGCCGCCATTATCTGCAGTGCTTTCAAGACAGTCGACTAGAGATGAATCGTCTAGTTGGGAAGGGCTGGTGAGTAGACACAGCTGAACTCACTACCCCGGAATTCTAGGCTATTCTCTCACCTTTATGCTGCCAAGGCCATGTGTTCTAATCGTGCCGATTTTCTTTTTTAAACCTTAGTTGTGTCAGAAATCTGCTTGCTTTTCATTTAGTTTACCTAGCATTCCTCTAAAATTTATCTAATATTTAAGATTTTTAATATATTAATTATACGAAGACTACGTACTATATATATCTAAGATGAGCACAGCTTTATTTAGTATAAAACTCCCTGCCATCTTAAATATTTACACTGCTCATATAGTATATAAACCTAGATAATTATAAGTGGCATTACTGCTTTCCTAAGGTCTTACGAAAGTGGTTCCAGACTGGCGAGGTTAACACTCCTAATATCACAGAGGGATAATGCAACTGTTGAACATCTACTGGTCTATACAGCTTTAGGCAAGAGTGGTTGCTTCCATATTGAAGTGACTGGCACTGGAGATCAAGCAGGAGATCTAATCTCCCGGCTCCTTGAAATAGCATAGTATCAAGGCAATGGACTGATGTCTGGGGGTTTGATGCCTACCTTCTTTACATGTCTCCTGAACGCCCCTTTTCAACAAACAGCTCTACCTTAACCATTAAATAATGTTTATTCCATACCCAGTGTTGCTCAACTCGGATGGTTAATGGCAGTCCTAGCTCCCATTAGATACCAGTCCAAAAAACGCTGGCTGAACTCCTGAACAATCATTACTTCATCGTCGACCACTTTTGACATCACAACCGATGCATCAAAAGCCAAAAAGAAGACAAACCCATAAAATCGAACGCATAGCCCTGGCAAAAACGCGAGCTGATGGTACGCCTACAGCGACAGTGGTCTAGCCTCAACTGGGCCCTTCACTTTGCGTGCGCAACTGCTGGACTGCTATACCATACCGCTCGAGGTACCTGTTGTACTTTCACTCTCATTACTTTTGACTTATATAGGTCTAGCATTTCATACTCCATCCACTTCAGAGAATGGAAGTTGGTTGGCTTGATATATGATCTTTTGCTCAAAAGGAGAATGCATGACGGATTAACACATTAAAGATGATACAAATCTAGCGTATTATCTTCTCTGGTAACTTCATCTTAGGAAACTCCTGTTCTGCTTCTTTCCTGTGTAGTTTCACGCAGAAAACCAGCCTTGTGCTGTGAATCGCATTATCCGACGATGAATTGACGTTGATGAGCCAGGAGTCATCTCCGAGACTCTCTGAAAGATAATCACAATCCTAGCGAGCACTGTTATCTTAGTTTGATGTGTATTAGAATAGACTATAGTAATAACTGTGGCAAATTTTGCATCTAGAGGGGTCTTGAGGAGATTCGAAGCTGAGCTGACAAGTATCGCAAGCCAGGGCTGCATGGAAATAGGAGCATCATGAATCTACCAACGTCGACTACTCAGTTCCTGCCGCTGCCATCGACAGCGGCCTTAAAGACTACAATGATTCTAGTTTAATACTCAATATAACCACTGGATCAGTGTACTAAGCACCTACTTCTCATGCTAGACAAGCTCGATACCTCTATTACACTTAACAGTATTGTAAGCACAAGTATAAGCGGTAGTTCTGAGATCTGCCAGAGATTAAACGATTATGTCTTAAAAAGAAGAGCATTGGCTCCCGAATCTTGATATATCGAGCTATTTTAGGCAGAAGAGACGAGAAACAAAGGAGGCCAACGACAAAGTGACAGAAGACGAAAGAGAGACACTTGCTAGAAGGGCTCTTCTATCAGAAGATGTTGCTCTAAAATGAATTATGCTCGGAAATGGCGGATCTTCGAACTCATTTGTTTGTTTGGTATTCCTTGGGGCCGATTGGCAACCCCGTTGATGCAACAACAGTCTTTCTGGTTACACATCTACACCACAAAACTCGATAAACTTTCAGTAGTGTATCAAGGTAATATTCTCAGGTAGAAATAGATTCTTATGAATGGACATGAATTCATGTCTGGGAATACCATTTGCTGGCGACCCAATTCCGTATCAGTGGAGAACTCGACTCAGCTGAAAGTTAGTGAGGGGTCATTCATCGGCGAAGACTCATCCTTATTTCGACGCAGCTTTGCAATTATTAACAACTGCAGCATCGTATATTCTGTCCAACCTGTTTGATATCAGAAAAGAAGCAATTTTATGTTCATTTAAGCTTTATAGTTTACCGCAAATCAGCATAATGTCATCTCGCCCGCAGTTCTTTCATCTTCCCAACTCACCATCGTGTCGCATACTCGACCGCTTCAGTGATCTTCCCGACGATGCAGAAGTCGAAGAAGATGAGAATGGTCAGATCCCATTTTGGCCGCTACTAAAACACCTTCTCTGCACTCCCGTGTCAAGTATTGCGCAGCTGATTGATCGGCTACAAACAATTGCCGCCAACGCAGAGACATGTCAAAATAATGACTATGGGTCTCTAAACGAGTTTCTTACACAGCAAGGAGAGACTAAGACACTTGATAACATCTGGCCTAAGATTCGCGATATTGCACTAACACTTCCGACTTATTTCCCAAGTGGTCAGCTTGAGCTTCTTCAGCCAAGACGTCCACTTCGTCTGACCCGTGGTCAAGTTGCTTGCCTTGTGGCGCATCAACTCCTCTGTTCGTTGACACCTCAAAGAGATGAAGATGGCTATCGGGATCTGGGCATATGGTTCTCATCCGAGCAGCGACATCCCACTGCAGTACAGATGTACTTGGAAGCTCTGTTTAAGTATTTCGAGAGTATACCTGAAGTTAGCGCTCTTCTGGAAGATCATCAAGCTATGCCCAACGAGGCACATGATGCTGTCATGTATGAACTTCATCAAGGAAAGCCAGTCTTATCAGAGGCTGCGAAATTGGTAAAACTACACGTGAACTACCTGGACGCCCACACATCAGATACACATAATCCAGAGTTTCAAGGTGAAGGAGGAGCTGCTGTTGTATCTTCCAACAAGGTTATCGGATTCGGTCAATCTGCTACACAGGAAGAAATATTCGTTGGAATTGCTCCTGAGGCTTACCCCGTGGTATTGGTTGCGCCTCATCTCACAGACGATACAGTCATTACTGTCTCTGGCGCGAGAGCAATGGTTGATATGAAGGGTCAAAGACGTGTTATTGAATGGAAGATACGCCCCACACCGCCATCAGATGACTTCTCAGGTTGGAAGAAATCATGGAGGGGAGGACGTCTGATCTTCATGGACGCTTTGGAGATGGACATGCTTGACCACTTAGAGAACGATGGACTACCCGACCTAACTGCTGAGAACATTGATCGCGAAATCAACAAGGCAGCAAATGGGTTTTCATCCTATAAAGGAAATTCCGTCTTCACTGGACTCTGGGGCTGTGGCGCCTTTGGAGGTGACCCAGGGATGAAACTCATGGTACTATGGCTCGCAGCAGGGGCAGCAAATGTTGAGCTGAATCTGATGCTTGGGCCCGGAGAACATGATCTGGGAAGAAAAATGGAGGAGGTAGTCAAGGCTTGCGAAGATTTGACCGCAAGTGGCGCGCGCGAGCTGCTATCAAGAGTTCCTGGAGACTTGCGCCGTGAAGAAATCTTGGAATGGATTGCGAACGAGGCGTCAGGGGCTCATCATCGCACATGTTGACGGCCAGGGGAATCATGATCTTGTCAGCCGAGGTTGAGAAAGAAAAGGCTCATTAGAAATCTTACCATAAAGACCAAACCGAACCCATTGGCGGACTATTACCTGAAGCATTTGAGGGGTGGGCCTTGATAACCGCGTATAATCACAGTCATTGTACAAATTCCGAGTATATCGGGCTGTGGGAGAAGTCCGAATTATTTTTGGCTTCTATGGAAACTCTTGTTTCCCAGATCGTATGTTGTCAAGGCCAAAGAAAGAAACACTGGACTGCAATTGAAGCGAATCTTAGTTCTCATTAGGAAGAGACCTTGTATCGAGAGAATCATGGGATGATCCTAACTATGACCTTGACATGAACATCAAGATCTACATACAAATCCTTCCTATATTGAGTACGAGAGTAGCTTCGAATATGGGTATAGAGAGCCTTCTTAGATAAAGTGACACTCTTTGTTTATCACACACTCTTCTAATTTTTCACGCAACCAAGATTCAAGAGGCAATGTACACATTGAGTTAAGATGGCAAGATTTGATAAGTAATCTATTGATTATTTATGTTCCTTCAAAAAGTATATACATCGTAAACGAAGCCCTTCAATTCACCAACGATGCCACTAGCGAAGAAGCTCAGACATGAGCATCACCGCTTACAGCTTAAGAGTGGCACCAGCAACACCAACAACAGCCGACTTGACCTTAGAGGAGCCGACAAGAGTGTACTTATAGGGGATGTTGGACTTGGAGATAGAACCCTTGGGAGCATCGTTGGTAGAACCGCCCAGGTTAACATCGTTGACAGAGATGGAACCAGTCTCCTTGGAGTCCTTGGAGGTGAGAGCCTTCTTAGCGTTGGCGAATGTAGTAGACTCGACAAGAACTTGAGCACCCATGCGAGAGTTAACACCGGTCACGCTGATATCCTCGTAGTAGTTGTTGAAGACGTGGACGAAACCGAAACGGACAGAAGGGGCACGAGATCCAATGCTGGACCAGTGGTTGTTGGCGTAGGTAACGTGCAGAGTACCCTTGTCCTCAGAACCGTTGCTGTCGGAGTGGCCGACGAGAGAGGCCTTGTGGTGGTCGTGGAAGTGGGTGTTGGACACGGTGACGAAGTCGGAGGCGTGGGTGACATCGAGGAGACCGTCGAAGAAGTCCTTGTCCTTAGACAAGTCGGAAGAGAGCTCACAGTGGTCAACCCAGACGTTGGTGGACTTCTGGATACCGATGGCATCGCCGTTGGCAGCAACAACGTTCTTGATAGCGAGGTTGCGAACGATAACGTTCTTCTGCTTGTTGATGTAAAGACCGACGTTGGTGAGAGAAGCACCAGCGGCACCGACAATGGTCTTGTCAGACTTGACGCGGATCTTGTTGTTTCCAGAGATCTGGCCCTTGACGTAGATGACCTGCTTTCCCTCAGACTCAGCAGCCTTGCTGAACTCAGCGAGGGAAGAGACAGTCACGGTAGCACCACCAGCACCACCGGTAGTACCGCCGTTCTGTGTAGCGTAACCGATGTTGGCGGCATCAGTGATGGCAGCTCGCTTGCCGAGAGTCTTTCCGGCCTCCTGGAAGGTAGGAGTAGGGACGGCGCTGGCCAGAGCAGCGAGGTTGAGAAGACCGAGGAACTTCATGTTGACGATTTAAGTGTATATATCAAGAAATTGTGTAAAAGAAAGAGTGGAAGTCGGAACCAGTCCAGACAATAACGATTGAAAAAGAGTTGGAAGAGGAGTGAAGGATGAAGGACAGAAGAGGTGAGTTAGTGGTCACATCGTGGTTCTTATATAAAGAAGCTATCACGACATGTCGTGCTCAATCGTCCTGATTGTCGAACACTTTACCCCTGATACGGTGATGATCAATTGCAGCTGACAAGATGATGTTTTCAAGGGTCTGAAACATGTTTACACGAATAGGATAATTCTCCGGTATTGAAACGGGAGGTGGGCCAACAATCCGGAGCAGAAGTGGACCCTCAATGCCGGACCATGCCATCGGCGCTCGGCCGGTATCGGTAACGCTGGCTGTTTTCATTACTAGCTCTCAGTTGAACAGTTTCAGGTCTGACATTTGGGAAGTTGACAGAACAAGGAACCTTGAGAGCAATTACTGTATAGAACTCGGATACGACATCTCTGGATCGACGTGATTCTGTCTGATCATGTCGAATATTCGGTCTGTAATACCCCGAGCCCAAATATGACAACGTCTCATCAGGTGAGACGATGCAACATGTATCCTTTAATTCGCCCACTACGGAAACGCGGCATCGTCCTTCTTGGCAGCCAAGATACACTCATCTTATGACAGCGGCGGGTCGAAGCTTGAAATAACCTTGTCGGGCCTTGGCTTTAACTTAAGCATCATTAGAATAAGCTTAAAGATATACCTACATATGACGAACGGCGAGTGACATGCTTTACCAAATGTATGTCACGAAGGCTAATGAAAGAAGAACTAACTGATCTCTGTTCGCGCATTCATGAGAAATTTGCCAACATCCACTTTGTTTGTATCGTCAAGTGGGTGTCGTTTATGAGAGCGCGTATGATTGAAACACGAAACAGCCCGATTATTCAGCCTTTTGTCTCATTAATCTCGGACTGCGCAATCACCATTCTCCCACCAATAATTGCGATCTTGTCAACTTGGGGGTGGGTGGAGCCGTCATGGAAATTGGCAAAAACTTAGGACCTCTTTTCTAGATGGCAAAAACAAGATACTTAGGTAGATTTAGAGGAGAGGCAAGAAAACTTAGGACTTCTTTGCTGGATGATAAAATTACTTAGGTGAATTCAGGATAGGTAAGGTAGGCTCAGTAGAACTTGTGTATTTATATGTGTTCTTTCCGTTTGTGTTACTTTGAGCCCTCATGACCGGCAGTCATGCCTACCTTACCTACCTAAGGTAGGTAGGTAGGTAGGTAGGTAGGTAGGTAGGTAGGTAGGTAGGTAGGTATATAAATCGTCATCCTCGACCTCTGCAACTGAGTTGGCATCCACTCTACATCACGTTATCCTCTTGAAAACCTCACGAGTATTATCATAGTTTATTTTCATCATGGTTGCTGTTCCTCCTCACCTCCTGCGAGCTATCTCGAAGAGCAAAGCGATTAGTCCAGAGCACCGTGAAGCAGCACGAGCATCTCTTGCACACACAGAGAATTTCTTGAAAGACCGCCAGAAACACCGGGAGGAGTATTTGAAGACATACAACCAAGTCCAGCAACAGATTGTTCCCCCTCAACTTTTCCGAAATGTTATTGCTTCAGACCAAGCCGATCATGCTCAGCGAACAAGGGCCAAGCGAAGCCTCGATCACCTAGAAAACATTATCGGCAAAGTCAGAGGGGCTCAGCAGGCGCTGGGTTCTTTGGTCGTAGAGACCTCGGACCGCGGCACTTCCTCGCAGGTTGCGTCCCTCACGGCTACGGACGACCCCCCTTACCTCGCGGTTCATGACATCCATGAGAGTGCAAATGAGGGTGAACTTCCTGGTGACCTCGTTCGCGATAATGGAAAATAGGAAAGCGATGAGACCAACAAGCCATCCTCGGACAAAGCTGTCAACGAGGCCTTTGACAACGTGGGACTTGTTTTGGGTTTCTACAAAAAGTTCTTCCAATGGCTGTCAATCGACGATAAAGATATGGACGTCATCAGTACTGTCCACTTCGGTAAACAATACGAAAATGCTTGTGAGTAGAAGTCGTATTTGTTAAAGCACTTCCACTGACGATATCTAGTCTGGGATCCAAAAAAGCTTCAAATGGTTTTCGGTGATGGCGGCGAGTTTCTCAACAACTTTACCGGATGTATCGATGTCATCGGCCATGAACTTACACACGCAGTTACAGAACACACAAGCCCTCTTGACTACTATGGTCAAGCCGGTGCTCTAAATGAGCATGTCTCGGATGCGTTCGGCATCATGGTCAAACAAAGGGTTCAGGACGAACAATCGGAAGTTGCGGACTGGCTAATCGGTGAAGACTGCATTCTTCCTGGAGTCAAGGGAACTGCTCTGCGAAGCATGAAGGAACCTGGAACTGCCTACGACGATCCCGTTTTTGTAAGTATCATTCTCAGCTCCCTCTACAAGCAGCGAACTGCAGCTAACGTCTCTGAACTACAGGGCAAAGATCCGCAGGTTGGACACATGAAGCAATTCAAAACATCATTTGAGGACAACGGCGGAGTACACATTTATTCCGGAATCCCCAACAGAGCATTCTATCTTGCTTCTGTGTCGTTCGGCGGTTACTCTTAGGAAAATGTTGGCAAGATCTGGTGGGCAGCTCTAAGGTCCGGCAAAATCCCTCCCAGGTCTACGTTTAAGCAGTTTGCAACTGCCACGATTGATAGTGCGCAAGAGCTCTACGGCTCAGCTGCTGCGAAGAAGATCAAGAAGGCTTGGCTAGATGTCGGTGTTTTTGAAAGTGGCGCAAGTACTGATGGAGGCTGGTGCAGTATCCTTTGACGAGATGAAGTAAACCTAGAAGACATCCTACCACATTAGTATGAATAGAACCTAAGTTTACCTAAGTTGCCTAAATAAGTCTTTTTGTCATTTAGGATAGAGGTCCTAAGTTGAGTTTTCTCGCCTCCCCTTGACATATCAGCAAGATAGATCCTCGCTCTTAAAGCCTAAACATTATCATAACCATAAAACCTGCAGTATAAAGAGCTACTGCTCTTCCTTCTGTACAATCTAACTCGGCTTCTCAAATCACAATAAAAACTCTCAATAGACATGGCGCTGTGGGAAATGGCAGATCGTGAGAGCCTGGGAGTGAAAAGAAATATGGTGTTGTTTTTGCTGTGTTGCCTAGATCTATCTGGCCGAGATATGGACAGGGTTTCGATGATGATTGTAACTGCCAATACTTAGAATCATACTGCAACTTGACGCTTCAGCTCTTGTTTTGCAATAGAGCAGCTCCTGCTGTTGTGCCTCTCCTCAAGATCTTGAGGGGAGGAAGGGGCAGTTTCCACACTCACCAACTTTAATACAAGTAGGAAGTACCCTCTAAAGAAAAGTTGGAAGGTCCCTTGAAGGTCCATGAGAGCAAATACTTCTAGCGTTTCCAACGAGCGAGAATAGAAACAAGCCAACTCAAATTCTGTTCATCATGGCAGAAGCACAGCAGGCGGCGTCGAGCCCACAAACTCTGACTTCGGAAACTTCACACGAAATCCAACTGCGATACGAAATTGCCGCATCGACCTTCAAAATCCTTCGCGAGATTAAAGGCAAGCCAGATGCTCGTGACATATTGAGAAACGCATGTGCTGCCACTGAGTTCAAATCGTTCCCAATCAAAAACGAGGAAAAAGCCTTCTTCAGAGCAATCAACGACAGCACCGGGATCCCCTACCAAGTTCGGGAATTCATCTCCCAGCCATGGCATAAAGTTTATCTCTTGGTTCAGATTGATCTGCTCAAGACTGGTTGGCCCAACAAGCTATCGGGGCCTTCACGGAAAGAGCTCTCGAAAGAACTCGCCCACATGTACAAACTCCTCGATCGTGTGCTGAGGTGCCTAGTCGACATACTCGGAGAGCGAGGTGATGGAAAGGGAGTCTACGTTGCTCTTGAAGTGCTGAGGAGTGTCAAGGCTGGAGTTTGGGAGGGAAGCGACAGCCAACTCCTCCAGATTGAGGGCATCGGCCAAGCGAAAAAGGACAAGCTCGTCAAGGCGAACATCAAGAACATCAAGCAGTTATCTGCCGTTGAGTTTTACAACATTGAACGCATTCTTAGTCGAAACCCACCTTTCGGCCAGACGATCCTTCACAAGGTAGCCGGATTTCCTCTACTCGCACTCGACTTCGAGATTATCGGTCCTTACACCCCTGACTCCACTGCCATCTCGAACTCATCAGCTCCCCGTGAAGTCAAACAGTCCGCAACAAGCACGGAAAAGCCCAGTCAACTGCTCTGGATTGCTCGAGCTGTCCTCGGATTCAACAATGAGAAGTTACCTCACTGGAAGGGCCGCACACCCTGGCTCACATTACTTGTCGAAGGGGATGACGGACGACTTGTTTGGTTCTGGCGAGGAAGTGCTAAAAGGCTGGTCGACAAGAAGGAGATCATAATAGGGTTGAGCGCAAAGGGTGACGAAAAACTACAGGTTTCTTTTGCATGCGAGGAGATTGTTGGAACCTTGATCAAGAAGGAAGTTCGAGTGTCAGTGGGAGGTATTTGCTGAGGGGAGCGTTATGTCCGTCACATGTGCGAGATGCGAGTAAGGTTGTTGCTAAAGAATATTAACAGCTACCTTAGCATTTTCGATTGATACTTATTAACATTAATATTAATGGTTCACATCTGAAGTCATGCTCTCCATGACACCCTCTCGTCAGGTCAACTCCTCCGTCAAATCACCACTTCTTTGGTAGCATTAGTGTGACGAGGCATACTTCTTATTAATGGCGCAAGGGTACGAAATTCGAGGATCATCAACACCACTTCCCAATAAGAAATTGTTCAATAAGAAGAGCCGTGAATTGGTTAGCATGTTCTCGGTGCCACAAGCGCCACCTCCACCGCTCAATGCTCAAAACATCTGGACCCTGTCGAACATTTTAGCTGCAGAATTAAAGACCCTGCATCCCGGACCAAGCTCCAAGGTTTGCGGTAATTTTCGCAAAAGTCGCTTATTGGGAGGGCAAATGCAGCCTGAGGACTTGGCCAAGTGATATCCAACAGATATGAATTGGATCAGCCTTACACGTTGACTTTCTTTCCCTTTCTGACTAGGGTAAACTCTGTTCATGATCTAAATTCGGGACAACAGAATGGTCAATGAATGTCACTGGTGATATAGGATGGGACGGGATATTAATTGCTCTAGTGCAAGCGGCCGACAAGAGATGAGTCTCATAGGGCAGAGCATTAGTGCGATCAATGGCTCAATATCGTTGGACGGTAATTTTGGAACCCCCGACCTTACAGGGCAAACAGGAGAGAGAAGCCTAATCTTAACTTTGTTCGGCGGCTGTTTCACCTCCAGCCTTTTCCCATATGTTTGGTCTACTCACCCTACAACTCATCCACTGCATGTAACCAGCCTTGCAGTAACAGCGTTACACTGCAGTACAACTATGCAAGTTGTGTAATGGCCAAATGCGAGGTACGAGACTAGACCTGGGTCTATGGCCTCGTGACCGATCTTGGTGAAAAGATCATCTTCCGACTTCCCTCCTCGTCTGCTCATCTTTTAGACCAGGGCAGGCTATCTAGGATGCAGGGATCCCAAGCAGCTGAACCCCAGTCCCCACCAACTCATAGAGAACAACACTGCTAATTATTTGGTGTATAGACGGTGCGTGATGATCGGGCAGAATTCAAGGATAGTCTTATTCGGAATGTGGTTGGGCCGGTCTGACACTCGCACTCATGCCCTATTTTGGTATACCACGTTAAATGGATATAGGAACTCGTCTCAACGGAGATCTTCAACTCAATTTCATAGGAGCTTGATGTTGGTCACTGAGGGCAGACACATTACAGAAGTCACAGCTGCCTATAGTTAGGCAAGGTATTGTGGCAACCTGCTGCAATTTGTATTGGTGGATGATCGTGCCTCTAGCACAGACGGATATGGTACCCGTACGAGGCCATCGTCAAGATGGAGCTTCCAGCTTTGACCCTGGAGATATTTGGTGGCGTACATTTAATGCATTAGCATGTTGACATACCCAGCTAGTCTATCCTACTGGTCTGTGACTCGACGGTAGGCTTTCAGCCGTTCCAGTAGGTAGCAGCCTGTTAATACCAATGGTCTTATAAAGAGAAAAACTCCTGTTCAGCTTGACCTGTCTGCTTCGCCCGCCAGAATTTTCTCAACCCAATCCAGTTTTGTGGATTAAACCCTCTTAAACAGTCTTTCAAACATGCTGCGATCAACTCTTCTCCTCGCCCTCGCGGGCTTGACCGTTGCGACTGATAGCGTCCACTTCAGCAACTCCAAAGCAGCACAGCCAAAAGGCCTTCCCCTTCTCTCTGGCTTCACTCCTCGCCCTCAGACCCTCAGCCTGGCTGGTTCTTGCCCCGCTGGCAAGACATCATGCGATAACAGTTGCATGGAGACAGGCGCCCAGTGCTGTAACAAGGGAACAGGAGCCTACTGTGATGATGGCTATCATTGTCAAGCTGAAGGCTGCTGTGAAAATGGAAAGTTATGCTCTGGTCCTCCAACTGGCTGCACGCCGGGAAAGGAGCTCTGCGGAGCGTATTGTGTCACTAAAGGCGAGTGCGTCAACGGCTCACCGTCTGGTGGAAGTGGTGGTTCCTCCGGCGGTTCTTCTGGGGGCTCATGCTTGAGCTTCCAAGAGACCTGTGGTGATGGTTGTATGCCCAAGGGCATGGTTTGCTGCGATACCGGCTACTGTCTCCGTGGCCAAAAGTGCGGCTCTGGTGGTACATGCAACTATGGCTCTGGCTCTGGCGGCAGTTCAGGAGGCTCTTCTGGTGGTTCTTCCAGCGGTAGCTGCGCGACCTACCAAGAGAAGTGCGGTGATGGCTGTATGCCCAAGGGAATGGTCTGCTGTGACACAGGATACTGTCTCTCCGGACAAGTCTGTAGCAGCGACGGCACTTGCAGCTATCGTTCAAGCGGTGGTGGCGGAGGAAGCAGTGGCGGCTCGGGCGACGACGATGACAAGCTCAGCTTCACTCGAGAGTCCCCAACACTTACCTTCGACTCTCCCTCATTCACAGCCCCTTCGATCGAACCTGTTCCCACAATCGATAGCGACAACAAGTTTTCTACCTTCTCTTCTTCTGCTGAGCCTACCGGCCTCAGGTCTGGTGGCAACGATGATGGAGACAGCGGCAGTAGCAGCAGCAATGACAATGGAGGAAGCAACAGTGGCTCTATCTTAGTGCCTAGCTTCTTCATGGGCCTCATTGCCATGGTCCCTCTTTTCCTTTAAGTTGCGACTCATGTAACTCGATGTAGTCGTCAAGATGCTACGGTTATCATGGCGAAATGAAGAAGCTGAACAAGCATTACGGGCTTGAGTCTTTGAACCAATGCAGGAGCTGGAAATAATGAATGATGCTGGCATGGGCTTGGAATTATTCTTCATACATACCTTAGTTTAGAATCAATATACCCCTAAATCAATGAGCCATACTTGTAATACTCACCTCATGTATCCGTACTTTTGCCACTCCTCAAACACCAAACGCAACCTGGAACTCCCATAGAATCAACAAATCGTGCCAATTCACCAGCAGGACATACATGGTAAAAGTCAAAATAATTCGATTCTTTGTCTCCCTACTTCAACAGCGGGCTATTTATATGCTGGAAGAAGTGGGTAGACTGGTGAGCCGTGATTTTCCCTCCTTTTGCCATGCGCTTAAATTGTGAAGAGAAAAAAATGAAAAAAATTGATGTTACATGATGACGTTTCTCTCCGTTATCCCCAACTCTGTGAGCAAGGCCGTCTCGGATCCTCCAGAGATCCCTATAATACATCCGCTAAACGCCGATAGTCATGGTAGTGTGGAATATTCATGTGGTGGTTGAGTGATGAGCTGATATAAGAGTGGTTTCATCTCGTTCCGTCCGTAATATGCCTTTAGCTGTTAGTTAGTGTTTTGTCCCTATCGCTTGGCAGCCTGGTTGAAGCTCTCGAGAACTGTCTCCTTGACACCAGGCTTCGCCTGGCCACCAAGCTCTGAGGGTGTATCGGTCTCGGTCTCCGAGTCTTCCTTCTTGGGCTCGACGATAGACTTGGCCATAGTTTGTGCCTGGGCCTGGCCAACCTTGCCGAAAACACTCAGACCAGTGGCGATCATGCCGCTGATATCTCCAACATTGCCGGGAACAACGACAGCTGTGCTTTCGCGAGCCAACTTGCCAAAGGCATCGACGTACTTCTCAGCAACCCTCAAGCTGACGGCAGCTTGAGCACCAGCATCACCCTTCAGGATACTCTCGGAGACAGCATCGATACCTTGAGCAGTGGCAGTAGCCTTGAGACGGATGGCCTCGGCTTCACCATCAGCTTCGTTGATTCGCTCGGCGCGCAAGGCCTCGGAAGCAAGAATGACACTCTGCTTCTTACCCTCAGCGATGTTGATGGCACTTTGTCGCTGACCCTCGGACTCGAGAATCTCAGCACGCTTGGAGCGCTCGGCAGTGACCTGTCGGTGCATGGCCTCGACGACGGCGCCAGGAGCATGAATATCTCGAATCTCGTAACGCAAGCAGGTCACACCCCAGGCTTCGGCGGCATCATTGATAGCAGCAGTGATGTTGGTGTTGAGGGCAGCACGCTCCTTGAGGACGTGGTCGAGGGTCAATTGACCGATCTCGGATCGCATGGTCGTTTGGGCAAGCTGAGAGATAGCATATTCGGCATCTTCAACTCCATAGCTATTGAAATTCAAGTTTGAAGTCAGTCACATCTCCATTCTAAACTTAATTTCTCTTCAGAGTTCGATAACTCACCTTGCTTTATACGCATCAAAGACACGGGTGAACAAAACACCGTCAAGCTCCAGAGTAACGTTGTCCGCAGTAATGGCGCTTTGGCTGGGTATTTCAATGGCAACTTCCTTGAGGCTCTTGACATATGCGATTCGATCGATAAAGGGCACGAGGACAGCCAGACCGGGGTCAAGAATACGGTTAAACTTTCCCATGCGCTCAACGATCCAAGCTGTCTGTTGAGGCACAAACCGGATTACTGTATTGGCTGGCAGCCGGGGCTTCGAGAAGTATGAAGGCAACACGGGAGATCCGAAGCCGGAGGGGAGTAGAGCATGGTTGGTGGTGCTGAATGACCGGTGCGCAGCGATAGATCGAGCTGTGATGGCGACGGCAGCTGTAATGAGACGCGATTGCGGCGCCCTGAGGGCTGTCCGCGTAAGGGACATGGCCATGATATAGAGAGTTCGAGTCTGTTGAAAGTCACGATTCCAGAATGACGTCCTCTCCTCCGGGTCAGTGGGAAAAACACTCTATCTGTGATCGGGCGAGCTCAGAGCTTCCTTCAGATATTCCGATGTTTGCCCGTTGGAACAGGCAAGCTTGATGTGACGCGGGTGGCTAGTGACAAGCAGCTACCTCGGCTTTCTGTGGCTGTGCCTCAAATAAAGAAAGAGGTGTTGGCGGGGAACTCTCTTGCATGCTCTTATCGAGACAATTCACCGCCTTCCTTTCTGTTGTTTGCCCCGCGACTGTGACTGGATCCAGCCAAACCAGAGTCACCAAATATCAACCGCCACTACACCAACGTCATCTATTGCGAACAACGTTTCTTACTCATCCACGATTTTTGTACTCCGATACCGAAAATCTTACCACATTCGATCGATAATAATCGTTACCCAGAAAGTTCTCTTTGAGTAATCTAACACAATGTCCGCCAAGGTTCCTCGCAACTTTCGCCTACTGGAGGAGCTGGAGAAGGGAGAGAAGGGTCTCGGTGCTGAGGCATGCAGCTACGGTCTGGAGGATCCTGAGGATCTTCTCATGAGCAAATGGAACGGCACAATTCTTGGACCTCCTCATGTACGTCTTGCGAATCTATCATACATGACACATGTGCCCCGCTCTAGCATATGGAAGCAATCGAAATTACTATAGATTCGTGACGATCATCGCTAACCTATCCTGGTTCAGTCCGTCCACGAGAACCGTATCTACAGTGTTAAGATGCACTGCGGTCCCGAGTACCCTGACAAGCCTCCTTCGATCCAGTTCATCAGCCAGATCAACTTGCCCTGTGTTAACCCCAACAACGGCATCGTCGACCCCAGCCAACTGCCCTGTCTCGCCCAGTGGAAGCGTGAGAACACGATGGAGACTGTCCTCATCGAGTTGCGACGGTATGCCAACGTCAAACTCAAAAAAGAAAAGGGACATTATGTTAACATCCTGCAGATACATGGCCTCGTCTCAGAACAAGAAGATCCCCCAGCCTCCTGAGGGCTCCACCTACTTCTAAATCACGAATACCTCTACACGCCGTTATGTCAAGATAAAAACCATACGATAAATCATTGAATCGAACTCGAGATCGACAAAGCATTTTAAGATGGAGTGAGAAAGAAGCCAACAGGCCATACTCCGCTGTTTTTCGAGAATATATGCGACTATGACAATCGCGAACTACAATATGATATACAAAGCTGCAGAATGCCTCTCCCTTCCCTTCCGTCTTCATCACATTACAGTCCCAGTTTCCTCCACTTCCTATTCGCTTTTCGTCACGTTCGTCAAAGAACAAAATTGCTACCCGCTTCTGCGCCTGTCCTCAAGACCAATCCCAGACCCGATGACTCAAAGTAAAGTCGATTTTCGTAGAGATGGTATAAGGATAGATATTTCGAGATATCCTGAAGAGAGTTGGGCATAGTCGTCTAGGGAAATTTCTCCGTTCCACTTTCATGACAAAGGGGCCTTAAATATCCCCCGTACGCCGCTTTAGCCCCCAAAAATTCCTAGCTGAAGTAGTCCAGGAAAGATAAAAGAGTAATTCGCAGGTAATCATCGCCGACAAAGGAAAATGTTTGATGTGCGTGTGATCATCGAAGTGACCTAGGTATCCACGAAAGAAATACTCCAACCCCCAGAATGCCGTTTAAAAATATGTATAAATGAAAAGTGAATGTTGGTAGGACGTATCGTAAGTCGCAGATGATATGTGTGATATGATGATTAGTCCTCAAATCCCCATTTCGCAGGGGGTCCGACAGCACTCAGGCGAGCCATCTTCTTGTTGACTCTAGGAGCCACAGTCGAAAGAGCATTAGGGGAGATGGGGCTATCGGGTCGGGGAACGCCAACCTCGAGATTCTCGCTTTGAGGCTGAGGGCTTCGTTGACGCGATCGGCTCGTTCGGCGCTTGACAACTGACTGGCGCTCCTTTCGCTCGCTGTGGCGACGCTGCTGGGTGTACGTAACAACCTCAGGGACAACCTCTGAACCCTCAGACTCGTCTTCGAATTCGTAGTCGTAGAAGTCGCTCAGATCAGGGCTTGGCTCGGCATCTTCAATGGAGTGCTCAGCGGCAAGACCCTTGTCGATATAAAGAAGGATACGCTCGCGCTGGTGGTCGTCGTGGTTATGGGATTTGGCCTCATGGGCCTTTTTATTAGAGTGGTGAGTTGAGGCGGTAGCCTCAGAGTTGCCAGACCAATTTTGGTGGCTCAAGTCAATAACCGTGGTGCCATCAGCAGCAACGGTTGTCTTATCCTTGAAGGTAGGAGGAGCAGGGAAATCCAAATCGAGATCGAAGGTCTCTTCGGTAATGGTGGCCTCGGAGGGCTTCGACTGGTGACCCTTGCGATGGCCCTTCTCGTTTCGACTGTTCTCTTCCATCTCGGAGAGGATTGAACCGCGCATGATCTGTCGCTTGTGGCGGAGAGCGGCCAGAAGCATCTCCTCCTGGCGAGTAACAGCCATGAAGCGATTATGGCTTCCCTTGCCATCGATAGAAGAGTGAGCAGAGCGAATATAGAAATCGACGGAGCTTGGGCTCAAAGGGGGCGTGGGCGCATCGGCGTTGGTTGAGATAGATTCATGGGGAACGTATCTCATCGCAGGAAGGAAGTCGAGCTCGGGTTCGGGATCGTTCTCAGAGTCCACTTCCTTATCCTGCTCGGAATCAGCAGAATCTGAACGTCCCTGGTCGGGATACAAGGCGACAACTTTAGCCTCCTGAGAGTTGAAGCTTGGTTTGCTCTGCCATGTATTCGATGTGTTTGCCGATGAGTTAGACAAGCTGTGCGATGGTGACTGTCCGGCGGTACCCTCTTGAATCGTGTTCGTCGAGCTTCCAGAGAGGGAACTTGTTCGAGGAGTCACGACAGGATTTCGGTGGTGGCCATTGGGAATAGTCAGATAGTTGTTCGAGTTTGATGTTCGCTTGCTCGATCTGCTGAGTCTTTTGGAGCTGTTATCAGCACTTGAGCT